CCTGGCCTGGGCTGTGCTGCTCCAAGCCTGGGTTCTTGTGCTCATCTGTAGGGACTGCATCCTGATAGAGGAGTTCCCGAAGCTCCTCTCTCAAGTCACCTCCTCTGGCAGGTTTCACACACAGAGGTGGATTCTTGGCCCAGTCTGACTTGGCCCACCTCCTGTCCTAGCAGGTACAGTGGCCTTGCCCCATTGGCCCATCCCAGTTCCAAGGCCACCTCTCGTCTTTATTCATCTCTAAGCAGGCCCCGAATGTTTGCCCCTGTTGCCTTTGGCACGCCCGCTGTTAGAACTGTGCCAGTCACTCATGCACTCCTCCTTTGGTTGCAGGTCTTCAGACTGTTGGAGCAGAGAAGGAGCCCCATGGTCCTAGATCCTGAGAGCTGCCAGCTCAGATCCCATCTTGGAGACAAACCCAACAGCTCTGACTGCCAAGCCAAGAGCACCCTCGTGTGGCGCACTATTTGAACAGCAACTCAGAGTCGCCAGCGGAACAGGGACAGCTTCCTACCCAGGAAGGATAATATTAACGACACCTACACCTGCAAGCCCCAGAGGCTGGCATCCCCTGCTCAGCAACAGCGGTTCTCAAAGTGTGTGTCAACCAGCAGCAGGGCGTGCCCGGGGAGCTAGTGAGCCATGCAGTCTCCTGAGATGCTGAGGCCAAGGTTTTGCCATGGGTGGGTTCACCAGGTCCTCCACAGCGGATCCACTGCCCAGCACTCAGGCCAGTATAAATGCAGCCCTCAGTCCTGGGCACAGCTAGCAGTTGGTCAGCGAAACAGGCAGCTAAAAGCCCCAGCCTTCCCGACACCTGGAAAGTTCCTCTGCAGATGACTGGTGCTTGTGTGCCAAGATTAAACCCTTAGACTCCTGCTTACTGGCTCAAGATGGGAGCCCAGCAGTACCACCAACACACTCCAGGAGCCAGTCACCCAAGGTGACCCCAGGAGCACCTTGCTAGAGTGTAGTGACTCAGCCTGGACAAGGGGAGAAACTCGCTCAGGGTCAGGTGCTGTGGGCAGCTGGGTACAGGTCCCGGGGAGCCCCAGGGACTTAGGGATGCAGGGCACGTCCCAGAGATGCCTCCCATCATTCCGAAGGGCAGCACCTGGCTGCTGATTCCAAGACTCCCTGGTCCATCGTCCCACTCTCAGCCCCAGTAACCTAGTGCCTAAAGTCCTTGCCTTGCATGTGCCAGAATCCCATATGGGCACTGGTACATATCTCGGCTGCTCCATTTCCCTCCCAGCTTCCTGCTTGTGGCCTGGGAGAGCAGTTGAGGACAGCCCAAAGCCTTGGAACCTTGCGTCCATGTGGGAGACTCAGAAGAAGCCTGACGCTGGCCAATACGGCTAATTGGGGAGTGAATTCGTGGATGAACGATCCTTCTGTCTCTCCTTCTCTATAAATCCGACTTTCCAATAAAAATAAATTGTTTTCTTAAAGATTCATTCATTTGTATTAGAAAGGCAGAATTATATAGAGAGAAAGATCTTTCATCTGCTGGTTCATTCCCAGAATAGCCACCCATGGCAAGCCAGGAACTTCCGCCATCCTCCCTGCCTTCCCAGGCCACAAGCAGGGGGCTGGATGGGAAATGGAGCAGCCGAGACAGGAACCAGCACCCAAGTGGCATGTCGGTGCTTCAGGCAGGTGGAGATTTAGCCTGCTCTGCACCAGTGCCGGTCCTGCAGCTCACATCTGACTGCCTGAGATGCATGATTCCTCATTCAGAGCACAGTCGGCACCTCTCTCGGGTCACATTCCCCTGAGATGTCTCCATGTCTAGACAGTGCAGTCCTTCCCCTATCCCTCCCCTACCCCGGCTCAACCCAGCACCCAGTCCTGCCTGTAGAATTGAAATCAAAATGGAGTAGACATGGCCCATTGCTAAATGTACTACTTCTCGTTTTTGTAACTTCTGCTCTGCTTGCTTGGCTAAGAAACTGTGTGAGCTTGCAGGCCTAACAGCCTACGTGACCTTTAGTGCCAACGGCCCTCAATCCCCATGAATCAAGTCCTAAGCCTAATTAACCCAAAGATGACTCCAAGGCTAGAGTCTGGTGTCTCACAGGTGGCTTCAAGGCTGGAGTCCAGTTACCCTAATTACTAGACCAGAGAAGAACCGGGCAGAGGCTGTCCAGCCGAGATAGGCCGGGAATGTGTGGTCTTTCCTCCCTCACTTTACAAGCTATTGTAAATTGCCCCTTTGGAGCAGTTGTAAACTGTTCCTATAAAATCCCTGTGAATGTGCCATTTGGGGCAGCATTCCAGTAAGGGGTGTAGGTCCCGGTCTGCCGGCCAGCCAGTAGGTCATTTGCCTTGCCTCTCATTGTAATAAAACTTGGTTGTGACTGTCACTGGTGAATGTAACATTCTGTTTTAGCAGTCGAGTGGACGCAACACTGCCCACAGAGCCCGCCAACCCAGCCTGGAAGGGACAGCCCCTGTCCAGGAACAATGCCAACAGGTAAGAGGGGAACCACTGTGGATCATTCCAGAAATGAGGATGGCTGTAAAGGAGAAGGCAGGCTCTGAGACAGACCCTGGAGATCAGGCAGGGACAGGGTGCTTAGAGAGAAGCAGCCTGATGGTAGCCTCACCTTGATAGGCCTGGTGGTTCCCTGCTTCAATGTGTCTGTAACAGCAAGGGACAAACTTGGCTCAGCTCTCCCAGGTGCCAGTCTAAAAGGAGGCCTTGTCAGTAGCAGGCCTGGGGCCAAGAGCCCAGAAGCAACGCATGAGAGTGAAGAAGCTTGCCCCCTCCCTTGCTGCAGGAAACTCAGCACCCTGACACTGCAGGCACTCATGCTGCTCACAGACCTGTGACTTGGGCTGGGCTCCTGCCTGCTCCACAACAGGCATGTCACGGGGGCCTGGAAGGTCTGTGTCCAGGGGAGCTCACTCGCTCCGCTGGCCCCTCGTCACTGGGTGTGACTCAGCTGGGAGCCAGAGCAGGGGGCAGAGGGGCAGCTGGTTCCATTACCACAGGCCTTGTCCACAGGCCTTTGGTGTTCCGTTTCCAACAACTGGGGCTCAGCTGATCCGAAGCCAGAAGCCAGGAAACTCTTCTGGGTCTCCCATATAGCTGCAGGGTTCCAAGGCTTTGGGCTGTCCTCAACTGCTTTCCCAGGCCACAAGCAGGGAGCTGAATGGGAAGTGGAGCTGCCGGGATTAGAACCGGCACCCATATGGGATCCCAGTGCATTCAAGGTGAGGACTTTAGCTGCTAGGCCACTGCGCTGGGCCTTTTTTTTTTTTTTTTACAGAAAAATTGTATTTGTTTGAAAGGCAGAGTCACAGAGAGAGAAATCTACCTTCTGTTGGCTATCCCCAAATGGCCTCAATGGCTGGAACTGAGCCAGCCCAAAGCAAGGAATCAAGAGCTTCTTCTGGGTCTCCCGCACGGGTTTAGGTGCCCAGGCACTTGGACCATCCTCTGCTGCTCTCTCAAGCCTTAAGCAGGGAACTGAATCAGAAGTGGAGAAGCCAGTCTTTGCCCCTGACGAGACCTTTGGTTTAGGCAAGGACTGCAGAGCGAAGTCAACGTGCCAGTGGCCCCGAGCAGTGTTTGTCGCAAAAGTTATGATATCCCTTCCAGAAGTCTACTGCACAGGCCTCAGTAACCATGGAGACCTAGTTCTGACACGTGCACTCCACATCCACCATCATTTTCAACTACCACTGTATAAAATCAGGAATAATGATACATCCTCCTAAAGCTAAGAGAAGGCACTCGCACGGAAAATACAAAGAAATTTAAAGCTGAACAACATCCAACTTGCGGCCAACTTGTTCCCTTTTCCATGCCATGGGTGCTGCAATCAGATTTGAACAACCAACCATCACATAAGTTCTTCAGGGTTTTGAAAGCCTTTTAAAAAAATCTTTATTTATTGCAAAAAATAGAGTTACAGAAAGAGGGGGAGGCAGAGAGAGCTTCCATGCCCTGGCTCACTCCCCAGATGTCACAACAGGTGGGGTGAGACCGGTCAAAGCCAGGAGCCAAGAATTTCATCCTGGTCTATGTCCCATGTGCTTGCAGAGTCCAAAGCCATCTTCTGCTGCTTTCCCAGGTGTGTTAGCAGGAAGCAGGATAGGAAGTTCAATGGCCAGGACTCAAACCAGCACCCAGGCAGCTTAACGCACAACACCACAACGCCAACACCTACAAAGCCACTTTAATGTGACTAGTCCCCCAAGGAGGTCCATTCACCCTTTCTACTCCAATTTATCTGCAAAGATCTAAACTTATCACAGACTTGACTGAAGAAGGGTAGGGGTGGCCTGCATGAAACAGCCCAGGCGATTTCTGAACCTGTCTGAGGCTCAGCGGCGAGGACAGTGGATACCATGCCCAGGTCCCACTCTGGTTCCAGCTTCCCAGTAAGGCATATTCCGGAAGCCACAGGGGTGGGTACCCACCATCCACGTGAGGGAGCAGGGTGGTGTTCCAGGCTCCGGGTTTCAGTCTGTGTGGGCTCCAAGTGTTGTCAGCATCTCGGGGAGTGACCAGAAAATGGATACTCACGCTCTCTCTCTTTCCGGTGTGGACCTGGCGGACTTCCACCACCATCCCTGTGTCTGGCATTCTTACTGAACGTCTGATACGTCAGCCACAGCACTTTCCCGCGATTGCATCACGCCTTAAAATTGCGCCAATCTTCGACCTGGACTCATTCCAACACAGGTGAATGGGGCACCACTCCAAGCAGGCGCCTGACGCCAAGCCTCTCCCCTCAGCCAATGGAGAGTGAGTATAGGGGCGGGACCTTGGAGGTCTTATCCAATCAGAGGTCCCAACTAATCAGTTAACTCAATGAAATTTCAAGCGTGATTGTGCCGAGGAATTCTGGGAAGGGGCCTTCCCGGAAGCCGCTTCTCCTTTGTGCCACACCTGGGCGGAGCTAGCAGTCACGCTTGCGGCTCTGAGTGAGTGACCTCGCTGCCTGTCAAAGGGGAGGCGGGAGCGGGCGTGGCCGAGGCGCTCGCGGCTGCGCGGAGCCCCAAGCACTCCGAGCGGGAATCCGCGGATGGCGTCCTAACGTCCATGGGCTCTGGGTCTCCGGCGACGCGGGCGGAGCCTCCTGGAAGAAAGAAGGAGGCCGAGGGACGGCTCTCTGCGAAGGGGACCTCGTCCGGAGCGGAGGGCGGAAGGGCACGGAGCCTCGGCGGGCCCTCCTCGTGGCCTGCGGGGCTGCTCTGCTGCGCTGAGCCCGGACGTGGGCGTGCAGGTGGGTGCCGCTCCGACGTGGGGCGCGGGTGGACGCGAGGCCTCCCGGCCCCGGTGGTGGTGGACACCGCGGTCCGCGCGGGGCGCGCTGTGCGCCGGGGCCTTGGCCGCCGAGCGCGCGGGCCGGGCCGGGCCGGGCCGGGGAGGAGCCGCCCGCAGGCCGACACGGTCGGTGCGAGGCCCGGGGGACGGGCAGCGGGGCGTCCCTTGCGCTCGCTGCTCTTTGCGATCTGGCAGATGCGCGCGCGGTGGGTGGAGGCGGAAGGAGAGAGCGTTGGCGTCGGAGATGGCTGCGGGACCGAGCGAGCAAGCCCTGGCGGAAGGGGACTGTCGGGAAGAAAATGGGGGGCCCCTACCCTCCCAGAAGGACCTCCATCCGGCTGCCTTTGGGCGCCCAGCGGCTTTTCCGCGGGTGTCGAGAATGAAGCAGAGAGCAGCGCCAAGCCGACACACTCCCCTCCGCGGAGATCCGACTGTCCTGTAGGCTGGGCTGGTGGCTGTATCCTCGGGGAGGCGTCACCAAGGCCTGTGTCAGCCCTCGACCCGCCCCCCAACCCTGTATAGAAGCTGATGATTGTTATTTTGTGGTTTGTTTATTTATTTATTTATTTGAAAGGCAGAGATGCACAACAAGATCATTCATCCCCAAACACCCGCTAAGGCAGGAGCTGAGCCGATCCGAAGCTAGGAGTCAAGAGCTTCCTCCCGGTCTCCCACTTGGGTGCAGGGGCTCAGACATTTGAGTTATCCTCTGCTGTTTCCCCAGACCATCAGCAGAGAGCTGGATGGGAAGTGGAGCAGCCAGAACTGGAACTGCACCTAAAAGGGATGCTGGCACTGCCACGCAGGTTCGAGAAGCTGATCATTTTTGAGAGGGGAAGTGGGAACATGTCTTGTAGCACTCCAGGCTGTGCCGCAGTTCGTGCCACCCCCGAACTGGGGTACCAGGGATGAGTCGCACTCTGTCTTCCCGTGCAGCACTGTGCTCCTGGGAGGCAGCAGCTGATGGTCCCAGGACGTGTGGGACCTGGCTGTAGGCTGGCTCTACCCTGGCTGTTGGCACAGTGGGAGAAGTTCGACCAGCTAATGGAAGAGAGATGCATTTCTTCTAAAGGAGAGGTCTCTTTTTTAGAATGAGGACCCAGTACTGTGATGCGTCAGAGGGAGCCACTGCCTGGGACACTGCCACCTGTAGGAGGGCCTCCCCTTGCAGCCCTGCTCCCTGCTAGTGCGCCTCAGAAGGCAGTGTGGTGGGGACATGTGGGACGTGGGACACCGTGCCCCTGCTAAAGCCTCTGTTTTAATAACATTCTTGTCTGTTGTTGATGGAAAAGAAAGTAACAGGTATAACTGTTCCCTAGAAACAGTGTTTTGCTTTTGGATGTTTTTTCTTTGTTTAAGGAAATGTGGCTTTTGAGCTACAGCTACTTCCTTGTGCTGGCCCCTTGTGGCTGCACAGGACTGGCCAGCTGGGTGTCAGTCAGGCGGCAGGCCACTCTGCCGTGGCACTGGGCCTTGTGGTGTTGGTTCTCTTAGGCTATCGAGAAAGCAACTTCCCTCTGCCCCAGCTGACCTGTGGGTGAACACTGCCACCTCAGCCGGGCACATGCACAGCCCAGATGGCTCTGCCACCATCAGGTGTACACGCTGTTGGCCCAGGACTTGATGGGCACCATGCCACCACCTTGTTGCCCACTATAATGTCTGCATTCACACATGATCTCTTCACCCTTCCTGCCCCACAGCCCCAGGAGCCCCGAACACAGGGGGTCGCCCTGGCAGGAGTCTGCACCCACAGCAAGAATGGCATCCGTGGACTTCAAGACATATGTGGACCAGGCGTGCAGGGCCGCCGAGGAGTTCGTCAACGTCTACTATAGCACCATGGACAAGCGGCGGCGCCTACTGTCCCGCCTATACATGGGCACTGCCACCATGGTGTGGAACGGCAATGCCGTCTCAGGACACGAGTCCCTGAGCGAGTTCTTTGAGATGCTACCTTCCAGCGAGTTCCAGATCAGCGTGGTGGACTGCCAGCCTGTGCATGATGAAGCCACGCCGAGCCAGACCACGGTGCTTGTGGTAATCTGCGGCACGGTCAAGTTCGAAGGCAATAAACAGAGGGACTTCAACCAGAACTTCATCCTCACTGCACAGGCTTCGCCCAGCAACACCGTGTGGAAGATAGCCAGTGACTGCTTCCGCTTCCAGGACTGGGCCAACTAGCTGGTGGAGGGCAGCAGGCCCTCGGCTTTGGCCCCAGATCTCAGGAAGTGGGGGACCCCGGTTCCCAGCTGTGCCGAGGCCCAGGTTGGCCTCTCTCGATGCCAGGAGCCTCTCCAGAGCGTGTTTTGACGGGTCCCTGTTGCCTTTTAAGCAAACTTTTCTATTTTTCTACTTGCTCAGTAGAGTTCCCAGTTCTGGAAGCGCTGACAACATAATATACATGTCACTATTGTTCCTTTTACCTGATGTGTTGGCCTGAGTTTCGGGGTAAGGTGGGTGGAGTAGAAGATGGCACTGCATATGGGCAGAGGCCTAAGCTGCTGGCCTCCCGCACCCCTCCTGGCACACAGTGGCCCTGTACTATGGCATTTGGACCCCCTGCACTATGGAGGTGTCCTCTCAAGGACAGAGCCCAGCCGCAGTGTTTCCAGAGGCCCTTGGGGTCATGCACTTGGCAGGGCATAGAGAGCCCCAGGCAAGGGACCAGGCCCTACCTGAGCCCCTGCTGAGAACAGATGACGCAGCAAAAGGTCGGCCAAGAACAAGCTCACGAAGGAGGTGGCTGAACACACTGCTGAGGGGAGGACCCGCCAAGGATGGGGGACTCGGGATTGGGTGCTGCTGTTGCTGGTCCTGCAGACCAGCCCTCATAGCATCCACACGCAAAGGCAGAAATCAGATCTCTGTCCAAGGATGCTTGAGAGAGTCTGTGAACCATGGGTGTGGCAGGAGGCCACCCTGTGATGAGCCTGAATTGCTAGCTGTTTTCCCACCAAGAAAAGCTCATCTTGGAATCCCATCTTTCTGTAACATTCTCAAGTGCCCTTCTAGGTGGTTCTGTCATTCTTGGACCAAAGGATGGTGTATGGTGACCATGCAGCTTCTGCAGTTAATCTCTTCCTGTGTGCCAGGTGGTTAGAAGAGGCTGTGTGAAAAGGGAGGGAGTCGTGAAGTGTCGCAGGCAGCAGGCTCCCCGCCCCCCGAGGTATGTTGGAGGGATCTACCTGGAAGACGGCCAATGAAGGGGCAGGGCTGGGTTCAGACAGTCCTTTGTCACCTCCTCTCTCTGCTGCTTGGACACAGCTCACAACCCCCAAAGCCCTGACCCTGGTTCAGTCTCAACCATGAGGAAAACCCAACAGGACCCTCGGCAAGGGCAGGAATGCGAAGCCGGTGCATTCATTTGATCTGGCCCTGCCAAGACAGCTGCAGCCAGGGCTTAATGTTCAAGAAGTCTCTATAGCCTGTCTATATATAGTCTATTATGTACTATTTGCAAGTTGATCACTTTGGCCCATTAATGATACTACAAATACCCACATGGCCCTTGGCAGAGAAAAAGATTCCTCAGGCCTGTGCTAGAATGAAAACCCTGTTGAACTCATTAGGCCCCTAGATTCCTCCCTAGTGGCTGCAATTCCTCTGGTCCAAGCCTTTATAACAGAGAAGCAAAGCCTTCCTAGGCCATCTTGAGCTTAGAGTGGGCGTCACTGTGACAACCCTCCTGAGTAGGGACTGAACGTGGGGGACCGGTGGCTCCACTGTGGCATGCTGGGAAACCTGAGAAGGCTCGCATGTCTGGCAACACCAGGATTGAAAGGATGACTTACAGTCATGTCCCCACACAATCAACATTAGACCCATATACACCTGTGGTCCCCTAAGGGGGTCTCAGCAGGGCTGGTGGACCCATCCTGATTTGTGTAAGGTGTTCAGCAGGTTCGCAACCTGATGAAACTACCTGCCAATGCATGTGAACTGGCAGTTAATGCAGTCAGATGCATGTTCAAAGCCACATTAAGCAGTGGTCAGACAAGCCTTGCAAGCTGGCGCAAGCAGTTCTGCTGAGGCATTAAGCCAGTAGGGCATTTGAAGAACTCCATGGAAAAACAGAATTGTCCTTCACCTTCATGCATGCCTGTGCATGTGAGGGGCCAAAGTAAGGATCCTCTGACACCCTTGTCCACAGGAAGACGCAAGGGGCTATGGGTGGGGAGGGAACTGTGTAGAGTGATGGGAGCGGGATGCTGTGGGGCTTAACACCGCAAGCCCCCAGCCCAGCCCAGACACCACCTCTCACCTGCAACCTGGTTGGTGGGCAGTGGTCTTCAGTGGAGCCCTTCCAAGCCCTTCACAGGGGCTCCCTGAGTGTAAAAGACCACAGTAGCCTGAGGAGCTGTGGCCAGAAGGTTTGCTGGGCCTGCCATCCAGAGTCCTCAGCCACAGGAAGGGGTAGGTGTGTGCTGTGTGTGCTGGGTTCTGTCATACAGAAGCTGTTAGCGGGCCTGCTTGCCCACCCACATCCTAGGAATCACCATCACAGCCTTGCTGTGTCTCATCTCTCACATACCTCATTCACCCTCACCTCCCTGCCCTAGACCCCAGCTCTTGTGCCCCTAGGCTTCTCACATCAGGGCATCCCCTCTTCTCTGTTCTATCAGGCCAAAGAAACCACCTCCGTTCTGCCATTGCCTGGCTGGCCAAATGCAGCCTGGGTTGGGCATCATGTCAGAGCACCTGGGAAAGTAAGAGAAATGAGACCAGAAGGAAGCTGCTGTTGTCACGTATTCTAAAAAAAAAAAAATTTAAGATTTATTATTATTTGAAATGCAGATTTACAAAAAGAAGGAGAGAAAAGATTCCTTCCACTGATTCACTTCTCAAATGGCCTCAATGCCTGGAGCTGAGCTGAGCTGATCAGGAGCCAAGTTTCCCAAGTGGGTGCAGGGACCCAAGGCAGGCCATCCTCCAACTGCTTTCCCAGGCCTTAAGCAGGGAGCTGGATTAGAGGTGCTTGGAGGTAAAGGATTAGCCAGTTGAATTACCGCACTAGCCCCAATTCATTTTATTTGAAAGGCAGATAACTTTCAATTCTCCCCAACCCCCAGTGCTTGCAACTGCCAGAGCCAGGCCAGTCCAAAGTTACATGCCGAAATCCACCCAAATGTCCCCTGTGGGTGACAGAGGGCCACAGTCCTGGAGCATCACCCACTGCCTTGCAGGGTGCAGGGATCAGAAGCAGAGCAGGCCCTGGCATGGGGCACTTTCGGTAACCTTATACAGAAAACTGTGTAACCCAGCCCAGCAAGGTAGCCTAGCGGCTAAAGTCCTCACCTTGCATGCGCCGGGATCCCATGTGGGCACCAGTTCATATCCTTGATGCTCCACTTCCTATCCTGCTCCCTTGTGGCCTGGGAAAGCAGTGAAAGACAGCCCAAAGCCTCGGCACCCCACACCCACGTAGGAGACCCAGAGGAAGCTCCTGGCTTTGGATTGGCTTAGCTAACCGGCAGGTGAGTAAACCAGAGGGTGGAAGCTCTTTCTTATTTTTGTAAATCTGGGGGGAAAAAAAAGAAAGAAAGAAAACCGTAACAGCGTTTGGGTTGGCATTCTTGGGTGATGAGGCCTCATATACTTTGTAATCAAAATCAGTCCACCAGGCTGACTGCAGATACACGGTTACATGTGCTGGAACCGCAACCTAGCACTTGGGCAAACACATTGTTTCAGAGTTCTGCTGCTGCTAGTACGTGTGCCCTTGAGAATGACCTTAAACGCTTTGCCTGGCTCTCCTTCCTCACCGCAGGACTCTGCCTGCAGGAGCTGTTGGGCAAAGCCTCAGACACGAGTGGGCTGCCGCCACCCGGAGCTCTTGCCTCTACTGCACAAGCAAGCCTTTTGTAAAGTCCCTGGTCCTCCCACGGCGCGCGGTCTCTGGTCTTCCTGGGGCTTTCACTGACTATGTCATTGAGAGGATTAGGAATGTGATTCCAGATAAAGGATGGACACCCAGGTCGTGAGGAATTAGAAAAAACAGCTTCCCGCCACCCATGGCCGACAACCGACAACCAAGGGGACGGACGGATGGTCCGGACGCGCCGCCATCAGCGCTCGCAGCAGCTCGCAGAACTTCCGCCTCGGGCTAGAGCCAGGCTGCGGGGCCGAGCGCCCAAGTGGCGGAGTCTGCCGGCAGGGCGCAGCGGGACACCGGGGACGCCAGACCCGCCGGTCAGGCCGGAAAGGCCGCCCTGCCGGAGGGCCCCGGGACGCGGCTGGCGTCACTGCCTCGGGGCCGCCATGGCTAATCGGAAGCCAGCAGGCAGCCAGCGGCACCAGACGCCGCCCAGCCTCCGTCTCCATGGAGCCCCGGGACCAGCGGCTTCCGCGGAGGCCGGACACCCGTATGACCCGGGCGGACGGCGGGTGTCTGCGGTGGGCAAGGCGCTGGGGTTGCCACGCCCCCTGTGCGTTTTGGATTTTGTAGGTTTACTTGGAGTCTGTGGACTCCCAGCAACTGGGTAGAATGGTGTTGCCCTTCCATCTCCAGGATAGCTAGCGCGCGGGAGTGGTCAGAACCAGCCTGTGTTCCGCTAGTGTCCTGGGCTTCTCCCAGTTTCGAACTACCTCCTATACGCCTGCACACTCTTGGAGGTGACCTTTAATAGTGACAAAGATAGACCACAGCCATGTGAAACACAGGGTTTATCTGAAATCCTGCCATGAAAAGTGATCCACTGATTTTTGAAAGCCAACATAAAAACATTTGTGGCCCACTTAAATTCATCCAGGTGTGTTTTAATTATTAATAAAATCTAAGCCTTTTTTTTTTTTTCAAACTAAGGTGCCTTCGTGAAACGTGTTTCTCAGCTGTCATGAATCATAATGCAGGCTTTGTCTTGAGTATGTTTTATTTGGGCTCTCCTGAACTGCGGACTACTGATGAAAAACTGGCAAAGGAGTGGCCATTTGGCAGCTGCAAGGTTGTTTGGGACGCCTTAGTGCCCAAGTTCCTACTCCAATTTCCTGGAGGCAACAATAGTATGTGGGTCCCTTCACCTGTTACCTCTTTCTGGTCACATTTTCAGGTAGATTATCTGAAATGATGCAGTGAAATGAAAAAAAACTAGTGATTAATATAGTGCCATGCTGAAGACCCCATGTCTGTGACTTCCTTGCTTAAAATACTTCAGTCCGTTTGGAGACGGGGGAAACTGCAGCCATTCTACATGGCCGGTGGGGATATAAAATGGGACAGCTGCTGTGGCAAAGATTTGTTGGTTCCTTGAGGAAGTCAGGCAGAGAATTACCATGTGACCCAGCAGTGCTACTTCTAGGTACGCACTCTGAAGAATTCAGAGCAGGAACTGAGTTACTGACCCACCAATACTCAAATGTACAATATTCATAATGACCAAACATGGAAACTGCCCACAAGTAAATCAATCAGCAGATGAACTATCTTGCTACCTTATCTAGCAAATGGGCCACTGGCATACAATGGAATAGTATTCATCCTTAAAAGAGACTGATTTTTTTTCTCTTTTACAAAAGTATCTAACTATATAGATATACAGTATTTTAATTTTTTTAAGTTTTCTTTTTATTTGACAGGTAGACTTACAGAGAAAAGGAGAGACAGAGAGAGAAGATCTTCCATCCACTGGTTCACTCCCGAAATTGCAGCAGCAGCCAGAGCTGAGCCAATCCAAAGCCAGGAGCCAGGAGCCTCTTCTAGGTCTCCCACATGGGTATAAGATCCCAAGGCTTTGGGCCGTCCCATCCTGCGCTGCTTTCCCAAGCCACAGCCATAGAGCTGGATGGGAAGTGAAGCAGCTAGGACATGAACAGGCACCCAGATGGGATGCCAGCAGCTATATGGCAGAGGATTGTTCACTCAACCATTGTGCTAGTTCTGGGAATGAAATTCTGATACACATTGAACCATGGATGACTCCTAAGAGCATTAGACTAATTGAATATTCAGACAGAAAAGGACACGTGTTGCAAGACAAAATACACCAGTGGTTATCAGGGAAGGGATGGTAGGCACAGGGGAAGGCGAGCAGTTCCCACTTGATGCATCACAAAGATCTGCTGGGGCGGCCTGCCATAGCCTAAAGGCTAAATCGTCCCCTTGCACGCACCAGGATCCCATATGGGCCCCAGATGCTCCACTTCCTGTCCAGTTCACTGCCTGTGGTCTGGGAAAGCAGCAGAGGATAGCCCAAGGCCTTGCGACCCTGCATCTGCAATGAAGACCCAGAAGAAGCTCCTGGCTCCTGATCAGCTTGGCTCTAGCTGTGTGGCCACTTTGGGAGTGAACCAGCAGATAAACCATAAATCTGATCTGCCTTCCCAATATAAATAAATATTTTAAGAATAGTTAAGGGCACTGGCACTGTGGCCTAGCGGCTAAAGTCCTCACCTTGAATGTGCCGAATTCCCATATGGGCACCAGTTCTAAGCCTGACAGCTCCACTTCCCATCCAGCTCCCTGCCTGTGACCTGGGAAAGCAGTCAAGGACAACCCAAAGCCTTGGGACCCTATACCGAAGTGGGAGATCTAGAAGAAATTCCTGGCTCCTGGCTTCAGATTGACTCAGCTCCGTCCATTGCAGTCACTTGGGGGAGTGAATCATCAGATGGAAGATCTTCTCTGTCTTTCCTGTTCTCTGTATATCTGATTTTGCAACAAAAATAAATCTTTCTTAAAAATAGTTAAACCAGGGCCCAGCGACATGGCCTAGTGGCTAAAGTCCTCACCTTGAATGCACCGGGATCCCATATGGGCGCTGGTTCTAATCCCAGCAGCTCCACTTCCCATCCAGCTCCCTGCTTGTGGCCTGGGAAAGCAGTGGAGGACAGCCCAAAGCCTTGGGACCCTGCAGCTATATGGGAGACATGGAAGAAGTTCCTGGCTCCTGGCTTCGGATTGGCTCAGCTCCAGCCGTTGCGGCTGCCTGGGGAGTGAATCATCGGACGGAAGATCTTCCTCTCTGTCTCTCCTCCTCTCTGTATATCTGAATTTCCAATAAATAAATAAATCTTTTTTTTTAAAAAAAAAATGTTAAACCAGTACATTTTATGTTATGCATATCTTAGCAGGATTTTTAAAAATTCCATCTAGAACTATGGTAAGAAGATTTAGGAAAATTATTTAGAGAACAGTATTTGCAACTTTAAAAATATTTACTTATTTAAGAGATTTGCCATGTGATGTCCACTCCCCAAATGCCCTCAATAGCCATGCCTGGGGAGGAGAGCCTGGAGCTGGAGCTTCATCCAGCTCTTGCATGTGGTTGGAGGACACTGGTGCATGGGTTCCAAGATGCACTGCTGCCTCCCAGCACCTGCGCTGGCAGCAAGCCAGTCAGGAGCCACAGCCGTGTCACCCTCAGCCACAGGCTTCAAACTGCTTCTGCAGCATTCGTGCTGTGAAACCGAAGTATGCAATGGGAATTTGGCCTCTCCTAATTCAGTGTATGTGGCATGTGGACTGAATTCAGCCAGGGAGAGCAGGAAATATTCCACTTGGATCCCTGTAGATGCCTACAACCTGCGTTTCCATCACGTGCGTTGGTAGCTCCAAAGCTCAAGTCGACACAGACAGGACAACACCGAGAGGCAAGCACACCATCAGGGCGGTAGAGGAGGGAGGGGCTTGCTTGGCAGACAGGCGGTGGCTAGGGAGGCGCATGTTTGCATTGGAAGCAGCTAGCAGCTCATAGCTGGGCACCTGATCCAGGAGACAGTCAAATGACCCATGACCTCATCTAACAAGTGTGTACGTGGGCTCCGTCTGGTCCCACTGATGGAAGGAGGATCAGAATGGGTGTGTGACTAGGCCATGTGACCACCACAGCCCTAGGCCAAACACAATGGCCTGTGAAGGTGCCAAAACTGCCTCTCCTTCTGTTGTGTTGCTTTTCAAGTAAACAGATAATTTTTTAAAAGCCTTCTACTTGCTCACCCAAAATCTTGCCACTGGCTTTATACCTTTCTTTTTTGTTTGTTTTTAGATTTTTGGAGGTGGATGGGAAGTGGGGTAGCCCAGACATGAACCGATGCTCATATGGGATACTGGCGCTTGCAAGTGGAGGGTTAGTCAAGTGAACCATCACATCAGACCCTACACCTGTATTGTTTACCTGTTGGCTCTCTGCTACACTTCTCTTCTTTCTCCTGCCTCCCATCCTGCCTGGCATTCGTGGCCATTTCCTCTGCCTTCTGATGGAGAGGCTCTTACTTGAACTCTGACTGGTCTACTACTGAGCAGGAGCTTTTATTTTCAGTGGATATAGTTTAACTTTTAGAAGTTTTACTTAAGTTTTTTTTTTTTTTAAGTTTTATTTGTTTTTTTTTGTTGTTGTTGTTGGAAAGTCAGATTTACAGAGAGCGAGAGACAGACAAAGAGCTTCCATCCATTGGTTCACCCCAAGTGGCCGCAATGGCTGGAGCTGAGCCAATCCGAAGCCAGGAGCTTCTCGCGGTCTCCCACATGGGTGCAGGGTCCCAAGGCTTTGGGCCGTCCTCCACTGCTTTCCCAGGCCACAGGCAGGGAGCTGGATGGGAAGTGGAGCAGCGAGACACAAACTGGCATCCATATGGCATCGGGGCTCCTGGAGATTGAGGATTAGCCAGTGGGAAGGTATTCGGCGAGGCCTAAAGACTTTTCTTTAGCGCTGCTGAGCTAGGCTTCCGAGGTTTGAAAAAAATTTTTTTCCAAGCATGGAGCAAAGCTTTCTAAAAGGCCAAGTAAAGGCAGAGTCAGGAACAGGAACGCATCTTAAATTCCGGCTGCCAACTTGACCTGGCGACAAGAGGCCGAGGCTCCCTGACCCCTGAGAAGAATCAGCAGCGAAGACCCCGTGTGGCCCACCCTAGCCACCCGCCCCGGCACACAGGGCCCCCGCGTAGCCCGCCCCGGACGCCCGCCCGGCACACAGGGCCCCGCGTGGCACACCCCGGACGCCCGCCCCGGCACACAGGACCCCCCGTGGCACACCCCGGACGCCCGCCCCGGCACACAGGGCCTCAAGTTCCCGCGCCGGAGCAGCAGGTGCCACGGTAGCAGGCGTCTGCATGCCGGCTCACGTGACCCCTTGCAGCCGGCCGCGTCCCCAGCCGCACAGAGCTACTGCCGTCTTCTGCGCAGGCGCAGCTCCGGCCTCGCGGCGCGTGACGCAATCCGGCACGCCTAGCGAGTTGAGCGGTCCCAGCATACGTCAGGGCAAGTACCTCGGCCCGATCCGCCTCCGCAGCTCGACGTGCGCGCGCAGCCCCGGCCGCAGACCGGGCCTCGAGGGGCGGGTCCCGATGGGCGGGGCCTACCGGGGCGGGGCGGGGCCCACCGCGGCCAATCGGCGGCTCCCGCGCCTGGCGCCGCGCCCCGCCCCGCCCCGCCGGCCGGTAGTCGCTGCGGGCCTGGTCCGGCGGGCGGCGTCTGCTGCGGGGCCGCTGGCTGTGAGGTGAGTTCGCGGCCTGCCGGGTCCCGGGAGCGTCGCCGCCGCTCGCCCGGCCGCCCACAGGTCCCGGCTGTGCTGTGCTAACGCGGGGTCAGGGCCAGGCGGGTCCCGGGGGACAGGCCACTCCACGCGGCCCGGGATGCCTGGGCGTCGGCGAGGAGGGGCTTGGCTCGGGTTCTGAGGGGCCAAGGCTTCGCAGCCCTGGGCGGGGGTGCACGGGGGGTGGCCTGGAGCCCGACCCCCACCGTCCGTGCAGCGGGCTACACAGGGTGGCAGGCCGGGTGCCTGGAGCTCGGGGCTCGCGGGGGCCGCGGCGTGAAGCTCTAGGGGGACGCGGGGCGCCAGGTCCCCGGTGGGCACCCGAACTGGGGAAGCCGCTCCATGGGGCGCCTGTGGGGACGCACGTCCCCTCGAGGCCGGTGGGCGGGGACTTGAGCATAGGGCCCTAAGTCCCTCATCCTTAAGTCTGGGTTCCACTTTGGCAGAATCCCCTTGGGATGACATGGCTGGAGGGTGCTGGGACTGCTACAGGGTTCTTCCCGCTTGGCCGCAGGTTCGGGTGGGGATGGGAGGGAAGTCTCCGTGGTACTGGTCCTTTAGCAAACGGGACCACGGCTGCAGGTAGAAGGCTCGAGGAGGGTGGGCACTCCGCAAACGTGGACTTTAAATTCCAGCTTGTGGAAGAAAGCACGGATTCAGGGGAACCTGCGGGAAACGTGGGGGCTTGGGGTAAAATGAGCATGCCTGCAGCAGTTGCAAGGACTTCCGGGGTGGGGGTAGTGAGGACAACTGTTTGCATTTGGGGAGGGGTTTGCAGTAGGGGCCCCTGGAGGTGTTTTCCTTTAAGGCCAAAGTCCGAGCAGGGCCCAGGCTGCAGTCCCCACGAAGCAAGCACTTGCCTGGAACCACGTTAGGGTTTCTGTGGGATGGGGAGTGTCACGGTTCCTGAGAGGCCGTGCCAGCAACAGGCTGAAGAGGAACACCTGAGGCCCACACGAGATCACCCCGGCTCCGTGGGACTCGTGTTGTTGCCGTGGCGTTAAGGGTTATGCACCCTGAAGTGAAGGGTGGTGCCGGAGTTGCTGAGCCACTTTCCTTTGTTCCCTCCTGGAAAGCAGTGGTTGGTTGTTTTGCACAGGCAGAAATGATTCTCTGATGTGGACAGCGCTGTGGCACCGTGGGTTAAATTGCCTCTGGCGGTGCTGGCATCCATTCTCTGAGAGCTGGTTCCAGTCCTGGATTCGCTGCTGATGAGCCCCTGCCGGGGTGCTGGGCGTGAGTGCTGGGCGCCTGGCCTGAGCCAGGCCCAGTCCTGGCTACTGTGCCCATGTGGGGAAGCAAAGCAGGGGGTGGAAGACCTCTTTGTGCAAATCTAAGGTTTATTCTAAGACAGTGGCTATCAAATTTCACTTTAATTATCTGGTTCCCTGGCCAAAGAATCAGACATTGTTGCCAAAGATTCTGTGGCAGCTTTAGGACAACTCTAAGTGAATTGATTAGAAAATGACCCTAGGTCCCGTGCTATGGTGGGGTGGGGTTAAACCACTCCCTCTGGTGTTAGTGTAGCATCTATGTGGTGCTGGTTCAAGTCCTGGCCGCTCCACTTGGGAATGCAGAACATGGTCCACGTAGGGAGATCTAGCTGGAGTCCCAGGCTCTCTGCTTCTGCCTGTCAAATCAATAGATCTTTATAAACAACATGACCTTGATAAGCAAATTATTGGTTTAATGTATTTCCCCTAATTACAGATTTGGTTATATTTATCATGGGAGGAAAACTTAGCAAAACTCTTAGGTTCACACAGTGGCATACTCTGCACCGTGAACCTCCTGGCCGTGTGCTGGGACTGGTTTGGCGATGTACAGAAGAAAAGTGCGCCTGTGATGGGCTAGCGTCCTCTAGGGAACAGACCTAACGAACGTCTCCTCAAGCCTCGGCTCAGTGGCTTCGGGGGCGCCTGACGGGGCTGTTTGTGTCTTCCCAGGAGGAAGATGGAAAGTGGCGCTGTGCTGCTGGAGTCCAAGTCCTCGCCGCTGCACCTGCTGCGCGAGATGCACGAGCTCCGCCTCCTGGGCCACCTGTGCGACGTCACCGTCAGTGTGGAGTGCCAGGGCGTCCGCGAGGACTTCATGGCCCACAAGGCGGTGCTGGCAGCCACCAGCAAGTTCTTCAAGGACGTGTTCCTGAACGAGAAGAGTGCGGGCGCTGGCGCCAGGACCCAGGTCTGCTTGAGCGAGGTGCCAGTTGCAGACTTCGCATCCTTCCTGGAGTTTGTCTATACTGCCAAGGTGCAGGTGGAAGAGGACCGGGTGCAGCGGATGCTGGAGGTGGCTGAGAAGCTCAAGTGCCTGGACCTCTCAGAAACCTGCTTCCAGCTCAAGAAGCAGATGCTGGAGTCCGTGCTCTTGGAGCTGCAGAATTTCTCAGAGTCCCAGGAGGCCGAGGTCAGCAGCAGCCCCTGCCTTGTCCCTGCTGGCCTGGAGCCCAGGGCAGGTGAAGTTGGTGGCGGTGGGGAGGGTCCCCAAGTCAGCAGCCTGGTTGGGTCGTCAGAAGACCCCCCAGGCGACAGGCTGGGCAATGGCCTGCCCAGGAAGGCCAAGGAGAAACTAGACAAGAAGAAGGATGTGGTTAAGCCGCCTTACCAGAAGATGAGAAGGGCCAGCGGGAGGCTGGCTGGGAGGAAGGTCTTTGTGGAAATCCCTAAGAAGAAATACACGAGAAGACTGCGAGAGCAGCAGACAGGGGCAGAGGAGGAGGAAGAGGAGGAGGGCGCTGCAGAGTCCGGGTGCTTCCAGGGCCAGGGCGCCGAGAGCGCAGGAGTGAAGGCGGAGGTAGAACCGGCAACACCGACAAAGCCGGAGCATCTGGTGGCTGGTGGGCAGCTGGCGGACCCGGTGCAAAAGGCAGCCGGGGGGGAGGAGGACGACGACGATGAGGAGGAGGAGGAGGAGGATGGGGGTGAGGGGGAGGAGGGGAAGGAAAAAAAGAAGAGCAACTTCAAGTGCAGCATCTGCGAGAGGGCATTTCTGTACGAGAAGAGCTTCCTGAAGCACAGCCGGCGCCACCACGGGGTGGCTGCCCAGGTGGTGTACCGCTGCGACACGTGCGGCCAGACCTTTGCCAACCGCTGCAACCTCAACAGCCACCAGCGCCACGTGCACAGCAGCGAGCGGCACTTCCCCTGCGAGCTGTGCGGCAAGAAGTTCAAGCGCAAGAAGGACGTGAAGCGACACGTGGTGCAGGTGCATGAGGGCGGCGGCGAGCGCCACCGCTGCGGCCAGTGCGGCAAGGGCCTGAGCTCTAAGACGGCGCTGCGGCTGCATGAGCGCACGCACACGGGTGACCGGCCCTATGGCTGCACCGAGTGCGGAGCCAAGTTCTCGCAGCCCTCGGCACTCAAGACACACATGAGGTGCGTACTGGTGGTTGGCCGGCTTTCCTCAGGAAGGCACTGTGGGAAAGAGCCCTTGGGCGCCCCTGGAGCATTGTTCCCTGCAGCCCATGGATGCTGCTGGTGTACATGACCCACAGGCCCACTGCAGATGAGGGTGAGCCAACTCCAGGCTGTGGGAGACTGCCCGTGGCACCTCAGGAGGCTCAGGGCCCACCCCAGCTTGAGGCCTGCCTCCTGCTGGTAACCATGGGCAGGGCTCCCTCACCCCTCTCAGTTCTTAACGCCTTAAGTTTGTGCAAGCAGTGATGGGTGTTTACTCTTAATTCTAGGCAGGTCCCTGCAGCACGGTGCCCAGGTCCATCACCGTGTGTACTCTTGCTGAGTGTTAAGACGTTCAGCCCTGGAGTGCGCAGTGAAGCCAGGCTGTAACTCCCATCCCAGGGCTGCAGCACAGAACTGGCAGGGCATTGCTGATCCTGAGTGAGAATGGCAGGGAAGCCTGGGTGCTGGGTAGAGCTGCCCCTTCCCCGGGCAGTGAGCTCTCACCTCCACCCTAAGGTGCTCTGGATGTTCTTGTTTTCAGAATTCACACAGGGGAAAAACCTTTTGTCTGTGATGAGTGCGGTGCGAGATTCACGCAGAACCACATGCTGATCTACCACAAAAGGTGCCACACAGGTATGGACTCCACACCGTAGGTCTTGTGCCGGGGAAGGAGACCCGCCATGAGTGGCTCCCAGGGCAGTCCACACCGAAGCTGGCACTTTGCTCTTGCACCTGCAAGCAGGCGCAGATGGAGTGTGCCTGTGGCCTGCTGCAGCAAGCCACCAGGCAGAAGGGGACCAGGTGCCTGGGTCTTAGGCGTCAAGAAGTATGAAGCAGTTATGAATGTTTTAGCCAAAAATCTTACTGTCAAGAAAGATCTTACTGTCCAGTAAAAATCATAAGTCCAGACTTGGATGAAAGCTCATAGCAGCACAATTCAGCATCCATTTACTCCCACCTCAGTGTTGAAAGCCAGCATGTTAGAGACCAGAAAAAACAGCCATGTGCTGGAGGAAGGTGCTATGATTATCTTGCTTCTGTTGCCCAGATTTGGAGGATTTATTTATTTTTTAATTTTATTTTTGTTTGAAAGGCAGTACCAGAAAGGAGGAGAGCATTTTTCTATGTCCTGTCTGGCTCGCTCTTCAGATGGCTGCAGTGACCACAGCTGAGCCTATCCAAAGCCTGGAGCCTCCTCCGGGTCGCCTGCGTGGGTGTAGGGGCCCAAGAACTTGCTTCATCCCTCTGCTGCTTTCCAAAGTCAAAAGCAGGGTGCTGGGTCAGAGGTGGAATAGCTGGGACTCAAACTGGCACTCAGAATGCTGGTGCCAAAGGCAGAGGCTTGGCCTCCTACACCACAATGCCGACCCCAATGTGATTCCTGTGTGGCCTTGCACTGCCCTCCAGTCTCAGGTCAGTGAGGAGGCATCTCATGATATGACCACAGTTCTGAACAAGCAGAACTGTGTCCCACGGAGGCATGCAGGCAAGGGCAGCAGTAGGTTGCATGGAGGGATTCAGCTGGGGCTGCCCATGTGACGTGGTAAGCAGATTCCATTGAAGCCAGTAAGGTGACATAGGAAATTGGGGTGTGCCCCTGGTGGGACTGAAGCCGTAGGTTCTAGGAAGGCAGAGATCTGCTATGTGTGTTGTGTTGTCTTGTCCCATCTTCATACCGGTAAGAGGTACTGCCTGGAGAGTCACACACCCCAAAGTGGACTTCCCCTTCTAGGAATTCTTTCAGACCCAGAGAGGTGCTTCTTTGCACACAGAATTTGGCTTTGGGGGTTAGGATGGGGGTGGGGGGATGACTCCACTTTCAACATGCAAGCTGGTTTCAGCCCTGCAGAGCTCCTCCCAGGTGCTTCTGTCATTCTGCACGTGTGGGACCTGGCAGGTGGGATATGTGGAGCTGCTGTGCTGCTTTATGGCGCTGAGGCTGGCACCAGGCTGACCTTCACCTCGCCTTCCCTGTGCAGGTGAGAGGCCCTTCATGTGCGAGACGTGCGGCAAGAGCTTTGCCTCCAAGGAGTACCTGAAGCACCACAACAGGATCCACACGGGCTCGAAGCCCTTCAAATGTGAGGTGTGCTTCCGGACCTTTGCCCAGCGCAACTCCCTCTACCAGCACATCAAGGTGCACACAGGTACAGCTGTGGGGACCCAGGCAAGGGCGGGTGCTGGGATTTAAGCTCTGGAAAACTGGATGTGTCACAGCAGCCTCTGTTTCGGAGTTTCTGGTTTTTGGCTCTCTGACATTGGAAAGAGGAGTGCTTGCATGTCTGCTGATGGAAAAGTGTGACCAGTGTATGCACGGTGTGAATAGTTATATGACATGACTGTGAGCAGTTACAAAAATAATCATGTACAGGCACACACCACACGCACATGCAGGTTGTTAGGAGGGGCAAGACGCTGTGAAATAGCCATCACTGCCAATACAGTGCCAGCCACAGGTGTGTGTGTGCCCCAACAGCCTCCTTCGGCTCGGATGAAGGGGCTTCCCGTGGCCAGCAGACAGCGTTACTCCAGCAGGTGACAGACACCCACCCATTAACTGGCATTGTCCATGTTCCGTCACAGGCGAGCGGCCCTACTGTTGCGACCAGTGTGGGAAGCAGTTCACCCAACTCAACGCCCTGCAGCGTCATCACCGGATCCACACGGGCGAGAAGCCATTCATGTGCAATGCCTGTGGGCGGACATTCACGGACAAGTCCACGCTGCGGCGACACACTTCTGTAAGCACTGGGACGTGGGCTCCAGGGACAGATGCAGACCCCCAGGGCCTTGAGCGGCTGTGGGACAGCAGCCACCTGCACAGAAATCCCCTTGTGAGTGAGGGTGTGTGCAGGGGCAGGCAGGGAGCCAAGCTCAGTGACATGTCTTGTGTTTGATTTGTAGATACACGATAAGAATACTCCATGGAAGTCTTTCCTTGTCATTGTAGATGGCTCCCCCAAGAACGACGAGGGCCACAAGATGGAACAGCCAGATGAAGTGTACACGTCACCCAAGCTTTCTGATAAATTGCTGTCTTTTGCAGAAAGCAGCCACTTTCCCAGCCTGGCCGCTGTGCCAGGCAGTGCCACAGCTGCACACGAAAACAGTACAGTGGACCCAGCGTGCAAGTCCGACAACACTGTGGCATCCCAGGATGCCCTGCTGGCCACCACCATCAGCGAGCTCAGTGGGCTGACCCCACAGCCGGACACAGTGCCTGCACAGCTGCACTCACTGACCAACATGGAATGAGTCCACGGAGTGGCGCTGTTGAGACTCGGCGTGCATGCAGTGGCTGGACCGATCAAGTTAGGGCCAGGACCCAGGGACCAGGAGCAAAACCTGTCCCCGGGCAAGGTGAGAGCCAGGCTAGCCCCAAGGAGAGCTCCCCAATGGGCGTGACCGTGCACGTGCTCGTTTCAGGTGCCCTGGGCCATCCCACTCTGCATGACCTTCACCCTGCTTGCCCACCGCACAAGGCTCTCCCGTCACCTCACTTACCCAGTGTGGAGGCCACACCTTGTCCCAACACGGGCTCTGGTCCAGCTCGGGGACATGCTGTCGGCTTCCCCGCCCTTTCACCCTGCCTTACTTCCTCCTCTGTTTACTTCTCTGATACTTCTAATCTCCTCTATTTTTCTACCAAGCCAACTTCAAAGGGGGGCCAAATATTTTTCAGCAGTTTCTTCCCCTGCTTGAATGAAAGCCAGTCAGATGAGCTGTAGGAAACCCCTTGGGATGGGGGATTGAGGCCATGGATCCCTGAACACATTCCTCCCCCATCACCCCATCAGCAGGCACAAATAAAGCACTGGCAAAGTGAACCCTCACAGACCCGCCCAGTAGAATCCACCCATAGCACAGATGCAGCTGGGAACTTGAAACACAATCCACCTTAGAGGGAAGATGTGGTGTTGTTCATTCCCAAAGACGCTATTAGGTACTTGCTGTCCTACCAAAGAGTCTAGAGAAACAGTGTAGTGTGTTTGCAAAGAGATGTGACACACTCAGCACGCGGGGGCTGGGTGCCGAGTCTGTTCCCGGGAAGCAGGAGGCGAGTACAGCCACCACAGTGTTTTTGCCCAGGTCTCCTGACTGCACACCAGGAGGACGGCTGGAAGAGGCTAGTCACTGCAACATGTGTGTTTCCTCGGGGGCGTCATGAGGATACGGAAGGAATCAAAAGCCTGGATGTTGTGATTTGTTATGCCTTAAAGAGTTGACTGGGAGGGCTGTAGCTGACTGCCCTTCCTGCTGCTGGATGGAATCAGAAAACACCGCCAGTGATACGCCCTTGCTGGATCAACCAGCCACTTGTCTGGTGCAAGGCCTGGGCCCGTGGCCTTGTGTCTGAGACAGGCTGATTCACATGAAACCCTTCAAGGCCTTAAAGCGAATCCCTTTTTTCTTACTAGTTGTTTTCCTTGTGCCCCATACATCCTATTTATTAGATGTGCCGAGAACACTGACTGCCTAAGAGGAAGGTACTTAATCTGTGGGGTCCAAGATGACGTGGCCGCGTGAGGCCAAAAACCAGCGGAGGGCTTCCTTCCTAAACGCTGACTTTGACCTCAGTCAGTGGACAGTGAAGCCACTACAAGGTGACCGGTATCAGCCTGGCTCTCAAAGGTTGAAGGTCGCAGGATTGAGCTACTGCAGATTCCCTGGGGACACCGTCACTGTACCCTGGCTATGTTTACAGAGCGGAAAAACTAACAGCTGTTGCACAACCGCCTTCAACTCAGAGGGGATGGAACCTGCCAGCTGACGTATTATTGGATGGAATAAAGTCATCCTGATGAGAAGGAATTTAAGCGATAGATTATTTTGTTACCTCCTAGAATAATTTTTGTCTTGAATTTGTTCATTTAGAAGTTCTACAGAAACACTGTTGAACATGTTAATAAACATTGCTTTGTTACAAACGGCCTGGCAGGTTGATTTATTTACTTTATGACAGGCTCTGCAGAAATGAATCTTTTTTAAAAAGATTTGACAGTTAACACAAAGTTATTCCATTGTTTTACTCCTTAATGGCTGCACCAGCCAGGGCTGGGCCATCTTCTACTGCTTTTTCCAAGACTTGGTGGGGAGTTGGATTGGAGCAGCCAGGACATGAACTGGTGCATGCATGGGCCACCGTATTGCCAGAGGTGGCTTCTCCTGCTATGCAGGCCTGAACAAGGGTGACCAGTTGGCTGTGTGATGGATGAGGTTTACACCTGGAGTTGCACCCTTTAGTATGCACAGGCTTCGGAGAGTCGGGTGGGTTCCAACCACGTAGGAGACCCAGACAGGGTTCCTAATTCCCGTCTGGCTGCTCCAGTGACAATGTCCCCAGGGATAGCCATTTGAGGAATGAACCAGCAGATGATCTCATGTCTGCTGTCACTGCTTTTTCAATACATAAACCTTAAAGACAGAGTACATATTTTCCATGAGTTATTTTGAAGAGCTCCATATATTACTTCAGTGGGGGTGGTAGGGAGAACACTCATGCATAAAGCCTTTGTGCACCTGCAACTGGCCAGGGGCAGCTGATATGTGGGGCGGCCACACAGGCCAGGAGGGCCCACCCTCCTGAGACTTGCCATAGGGGACAAAGCCAGGTGTTCAGGAGCCAGCTGAGTGACTGCAGCGTCTCCAATTCTTGCCTGGTCTGCCTGTTGCTTCTGTTCCACATGACTCCATGCTGCATGACAGAGTGGTCTTGTTCCTGGAACATCTGAGCCGTGTCCCTGAGCTTCACTGCTTGCCAAAGGCATTGCTGACCCGTAGACACCATAGGGCCTCCTAGCAGCCGCTCCTTTGCACAGCTGGAAGGCCACAAGGGTTGGAAACGAGCTGGGCAGGTGGTTACCATGCACACTCAGGATAGCTCCAGTGGAGAAGCCCAGGGCTTCCTTCCAGACCCTCGGCCCACAGCCCTGCAGCAAAAAGCCCAGAAGACACTGACGTCCACTGCCTCCCAAAGGCTGCAGAATGTTTCAGGGAATGACAGGTGCCGTTGATGTCAGCAAATCCAGCAGAGACTGATCAAAACAGTTGCTTGTCATTTCCACTTTATTTACTGTACAGGTTCATGGGAAACATTCTTTCTGCTAAGGGAGATACAGTGTTACATGGTTTGTGTTCAGGAGGCCCTGCCCTAACAGGGCAGGGGCGTTTGCCCCTGGTCACGGCTCACACCGCACAGGCAGGGCGTGGAGGCATGCGGTGCTGCCAGACCCTCCAAGGGAAGTCACGCGGGTTGCGTCTGGATGTTGGTAAGTGCCTAACACCACTGGGAACACAAACACAGGCTGTGGGCCACGGCGACATCACCACACACGGTCACAACTGTGCAAAAACACTGTTTTCAAATCATGAAATAAAAAAGGGGCACCACACAAGCTATAAAAATGTTGCCACAAAATCCTGTAAGAAATGGTCACCAACTCTGATGGGGCACTGAGCCTCGGTGAGGTCCGAGACTCCTCCCGGAGGCCGCTGGCAGCCCGAGCCAAGGCGGGAGCCGAGTGTGTGCACAGCTGTCTGGGCTTCCTCCCTCCTCCCACCCTCCAGCTCTCATTCAGCCACTAGGATGACTTTGATTCTTTCCTTGCGAAACATTAAGAAACTCCATTCTTGCCTCAGGCCTTGATCCTGGTGTTTCTTGCAGTGGAAATGCTGACCCAGCACTATGGTGCCAGGGTCTGTTTTAGAAGGCCACCCATGGTCTTGAGACAGGGATTGCTCAGGGTATCTGACCGACGGCTCACAGACATGCCATCCAGGAAGCCAGTGCTTGCTGCTCTCCTGACCATCAGGCTTCTCGCTGTCCTCAGGTGCGTCTGGCTGGCTGACAGTCAAGGTCCAGGAATGAGGGCAAGTTCCTCTTCCTGCTGAACTCCACTGGTGCTCCCCAGGAGCAATCTGCCACCAGCCCTGCCCTCCCAACTGCACTGGGCTGGAGGGAGAAGGGAGGCCCCCCAGATCCCAGGGCCCATTCCTTCCCCAAGACTTCCAGATGTCACCAGCTTCCTGCTCCCCAGCAGGTCCTGCTTAGCATGGCCTCCCACTTCCAGGGCCCACTACCTTTCACTCTACACTTGCCCACTCGCCCATCCTCCACAACCTTCCTCGCTCAGCCCTTTGTCTGGACTCACTCTACTTCTGTCGTACAAAATCCTGCCGGTTCCAGCCAAGCTGCCACACAGCCTGCTACTGCACAGCACGGCAGGTTTCATGACGCAGTGTCAGTGATGACAACCCAACAGAAAGAGCCGTGGGCAGTGTCGGCCACAAGAGTGCATCACACACATATTGTTCAGGCACAACACAGGGAGCAGCCTTAGGAAACAGGACTCTATCTGAGGAACCATGCTAGCGCCTGCACTGCTAAGATCAAGTTCACCCACCCATACAGCACACCTGTAGTATGCAATCTCCGTGCAAAACAAGGCAGGGTCCAAAGCGCACTCAAATCACGCCCAGCCACCCCCAACTCTCCATTTCTCAGGGTTCTTCTGTTTGAGTGACAGCACAGATCAATCAAGGCCACCTGACAGTCACCCATACCCTGGCAAGCACTGCCAGGAAACTCTCAGTACTGACATCAACACACCTGAGCTGTTCTAACCTTCCAGCACACACTCATCAGTCCACAGAGTGACACATAAGCAAAGAAGGTGGTCTCCAGCCCATCCAAATCATCACAGGGCAACCAAACCATGAAGGGTTTCTAACAAGGTTATCAATGCATTGCTATTAGCTACCCTAGATTAAAACACACGTGTTTTACAGAACACAGCCAGATGTGAACGTATACACACTCTGCCAAGCACGTGTGTGGGCAGCTCTCGGGGGACACAGAAACGTGGCAACACTGAAGACAAAGGAGGAGCAAGGGTCTGCAGCACGATTCTCAGAGAGCCAGGGCGGCCTGCAATGCACGCCACGGCCAACCACCCGCCCAAGCTCGTGGGAGCTCCCACAGACCCAGCTCGCAGGGCTCACAGGCAACAGAATGAAGCCGTTCAATGCGCGTCCCATGGAGATCACGTGGTCCTAAGACAAAACTAAAAAGGAGTCAGCTGCATGCCACGGAGGGATAATAAGTTCACTTGAGGTCGCCATCTCCTTCTCCATCTCCTTGGATGGACTTTTTGATGCGCAGCAACATGGTGGTCAGCCACTGATCCAAGCGAGATATGGAGTCAAACTCCTTCACCTGGGGCAGAGAGGACAGGGCAGGGTCAGGCTGTGGAAATTCACTTAAACCAGACAGGGGAGCCCAGCCTGGCACACGGTCCTGGGGATGGCATGGCGCCATCTCCTCCTCAAACGCAGCTTTCCCAGCCTGTGACTGCTGAGGTGGTGTCTGTGCAAGCACTCCTTGCAGCCACTGTAACTGCCAGATTGTGTAAGGTGGCAAGGAACTGGATGCTGTGCACAAACATACAACACTGACAGCTACTCAGCCTGGAAAAACCTAATGCAGGGTTGGGATGGATCTGGACACTGGCGAGGCAGCTACAGCTAAACAAGAAAATCTCCTGCTGTTCCTTCAGGAACACAGGCAACACATGAACAAAAGCCACTGCCTGAGGAATCCACTCGATCCAGAAAGGAGAAGTGTGAAGGAAAAATAATATTTCATTTATTTTATGCCACAAATAGCAAACTCTCACCACCTACCATTTACGTTTTAAATTGTATCTCAACTAATTTTATTTTCCACTTAATTATGGATCATGTATTTTCTTTTTTTAAAATTTTATTTATTTTTATTGGAAAGTCAGACATACAGAGAGGTAGCAAGATTAGAGAGGAAGATCTTCCGTCCACTGATTCACTCCCCAAGTGGCTGCAATGACCAGAGCTGAGCTGATCCAAAGCCAGGAGCAAGCAACCTCTTCTCCCTCCCACGTGGGTACAGGGTCCCAAGGCTTTGGGTCATCCTCAACTGCTTTCCCAGGCCTCAAGCAGGGAGCTGGATGGCAAGTGAAGCTATTGGGATTAGAACCAGCGTCCACATGGGATTCCTTTGCATGCAGGGTGAGGACTTTAGCTGCTAGGCTACTGCGCCAGCCTGGATCGTGTATTTTTCAAACTAAGATGATACAATAGCAAACCACAAGAGCACTTGTGGTACCTACTGTGGAAGGAGCCTTGTGGCTACTTTAGTTTTGAGCCTAACTCAGTAAAGGAGCTGCATTCCAGCAGGGCCTCCGGAGCTAAAAGCTCAGCAAATACAAAACATGGCTGCTGTGAAAGACTACTTAGGCCAACAGAAAGAACAATGGCCACAGTAACATTCAGGATTTGCCCCATGAAAGGGTGAAAGAACTTTCTGGAAACTGAATCCTTTGGAGCATATCCCAAAGGTGTGACTTACCGCCTCAGTGTAAGCTTCACTGTTCTGCTCTTCATGAGCTTCTAGAAGTTTCTGGCAGCACAATATTAAAAAAAAAAAAAAAAAAAAGCTGGTGAGATGAAGTGCCACTCCTGATGGATACTTTATAAACACTAGGGCCACATTGACTGATGCTAACAAATCACTCACAAAAGTGGGATAATGTTCCAATGGAGTCAGGATCTAACCTTGTGCTAACATTTCTACATCATCCCTCCAAGAACAACACACCTACGGACTTGGAACCAAGGTATTTGAAAAAACAAGGAAGTGTCTGTCCCCCAGCTCATGGACCTGACCTATGCCACCTCCCTTAGTACCCGTCCCCCAGCCCACAGACCTGATCTATGCCACCTCCATGGTGCCCCCCCAGCTCACAGACCTGACCTATGCCACCTCCCTGGGTGCCTGTCCTGTGATGGCAAAGGCCTTACTCCCCACAGTGCACGTGTTACTCACTTTCAATAGTTTACATTCTCTGGAATCAGTAAATGCTGGGAACATTTCCTCATACTTCTCCAGGGCCAGCTGAGAGAGAAGGACATCTAGTCAATGCCAGACTTCCTGAGCTAGCACACAGCACATATTAGCAAGGTTTATCTGGATTTGAGCTTCTTAGTGCCTACCAGTATGCTGTGAACAACAAAATCAATATAGGAACCCGGTTTGGTTTTTTTTTTTTTTAATATTTATTTTTATTGCAAAAAAATAGAGAGGAAGAGAGACAGAGGAAGATCTTCCATCCGATGATTCACTCCTCAAGTGATGGTAACAGCCACAGCTGCGCCAATCTGAAGCCAGGAGCCAGGAACTTCCTCCAGGTCTCCTACATGGGTGCAGGGTCCCAAGGCTTTGGGCCATCTTCGACTGCTTTCCCAGGCCACAAGCAGGGAGCTGGAGGGGAAGTGGAGCTGCTGGAATTAGAACCAGCATCCATATGGGATTCCAGTGCATTCAAGGCGAGGACTTTAGCCGCTAGGTCATCATACCGGGCCCAGTCTCACCATTCCAAGCACGGGGCCCAGTCTGTTTTTAACTTTCAAGTTATAAATTACTAAACCAACGTTCTTCACTGGACAAAATCTCACTGCTAAAAAAAAATATCTCACAGAGCAGGCACCTGTGTTTGTTCATGAAATGCAGGAGCCCCTTACATGGTCCAGAACAGCTTGAGAATCTCATGGAAAACCAAAGTAACCAGCAAGTTCATCTCGGTGCAAAAATCATGGAACTGTGTGCCTTATCAGAAAGCTGACCTCTGGATTTCAAGCTGTTTCCCCCTTATTTATTTTTAAATCAGGGAGAGAGAATAAATGAATGAATGACAAAAAATTGCCAGCCACTGCACTCCTCAAGGGCCCGGTGGAAGCCAGGCCCTGGGCTGGCTGGTCTCCCAGGGAGGTGCCAGGGCTCCGAGCATTTCATACACCACCTGAAGCCTCTCCCAGGATGCGTTAGCAGGAGACAGGATCAAGTACTGTGCCTGGGAAAACAGAGCAAGGTAACTCGTGTGCTTGGGACCTTGCCACCCATGTAGGAGACCAGGACAGAATTCCGGGGTGCTGGCTTCAATCCAGCTCAGCCATGGTCATGCTAGTCAATTGGGGAATGAACCAGTGGATAGAAGATCTCTCTCAACCTCCTCTCTGTAACTCTGTCTTTCAAAGAAATAAAATAATTCAGGAGGGAAGAGAAACAAACAAAAAGTAGAGTAGCCGGGACTCAATATGTCATCCATGTGCTCTAAGCAGTGACCTAGCCTACTGTGTTAAAACACTTGCTTCCTATCAAAATTTCTTTGCAGCCTCAGACAGAGGATATGGCAGTCCACTGATGCCTGCAGAGGACACCTGATACCACAACAGAGGACAGAACAAATCAATCAACTACCCCAGCCACGTGTCGGCAGTGAAAATCTGGAAAACGGAGACTCTAAGTTGGACTATGTCAGCCAGTAGATTCCGGAGAGATTTCATCGTGCTTGGAATGGTGAGACTGGCAGCAATTCAGAACTGCTGAACTCTCAAAACCACTTGAGCAGTGCCCTCGCAGCATGCCCCACACTGGGGACCCTGGGATGGTTGGGAGGCGGGGTGGGGCTACCTCCCTCTTTCCCCTAGATAACAGGAAAAAAAGAGAGAGGGAATGTGGAAACAATGGTCTTCCCACTTTCCTGTAGCCCTTGACCCTTTGCACCCTAATCTACTATGTAAAGGTCATCAAAACAAAATAATAAGAATAAAGAAAATACAGATCTCAAAATAATTTCTTTGCAGCAAAAATGAAAACTTCTTTGAAAGATTCATTCATTTATTTATTGGAAAGGTGCAATTATACAAGGAGGGAGGAAGGGGCAGAAAGACTCTCATCTGCTGACTCACTCCCCAAATGGCCACAAGAGCTGCAGCTGGACCAGTCCAGAGCCAGGGACTTCCTTTGGATCTGCCACGTGGAGGCAGGGCCCAAGCACTCAGGCCATCCTCCACTGCTTGCTCAGACGTATTAGCAGGGAGCTGGAATGGAAGCAGAGCCCTGGCTTGGGATTTGAATCAGTGCTCCGATGGGAGCCTGGAGCTTCCAGGGAGTGGCTTCATCCATATCTCAGTGCCAACCCCTGAACTTACCTCTCAAGTGCACTTTTCACAGCCTTGCTGTGTTAGTCACGTGCAGAACATTGCGTGTGACTGAGAGAATGGCGTCTTCCCACAGGGGCTCCAGTGCTGCTGCTGACACTCAGGCTGCCCAGCCTCCACCCGCTCCTGGCTTTCACTCATCTGCAGCCCTCACTCTAGCTCCATTTCTGAGTTTTGAAAAAAAAAAAAAAAAGGATGCTATTCTGCTTTTACCTACTACACTGAATTCCCCAAGTTTGCTTAAAGCAAAGCCATGGAAGAAATATGGCTACAAGGAAATGTCCAGCAAGTTCAAGGGCACAGCTCTAGCAGCTGCTCAAGCATACAGCTGGGACACCTACCACAGAATTATTTTGAATGTTCTCACTCAGGAATGAAATGAAACAATGTGAGATAAAAATGACAAAGCACCTGTACGTGAGATCAAGGGCCAACCAGGACATGAGCAGTGGTGTCCTCCTCACCTTGCCATTCAACTCGTGCACTGTGACCAGGACTGCTGGGAGCCGTGCAGTGGGGGTGGACGACACAAAGCTGTCAAGAGAAGGCTCCCAGTCGGCAAGGCCACGAGGAGCTTTGAGTTGTATCGCAAGGTCTGGCAGAGGTCTCTCCAGCCACCTTAATCTGGCTTCACCTCATTTGCATGGACACTCAACTATCCCTTTAAAATACTCTGAAGTCTGTTGAGGCATTGTTGTTCGCCCTTGCAAGACGGCTTCTGTAACTGATGTGAACTTAGGAATTAATGTTATTGATAACATTTTAGTGAGTGGGTCATTAGCAATTTATGAGAATTAGTGCACACAGGAGTACAACTGAGCCCACAGCATTCCTGAACACCTCACTGTGTACCTAACAACTGCTCAGGAACCTGGCCCAGACATGTAGCACGCCTTCTCAGAAACAGCTTGGTAAGTATCTCAAAACTGATGAAAATGATGTCAGTACAAGAAAGCCATTTATTGTATGCCTGTGCCCCCGCAACTATTGTGATATTAAACACAGTTATTGTAACCTTAAGGGTTAGCCTGCTTTTGCAAAAAATAGTAATAATTTTTTTTTTGAGCATAGAAAATGTATCTGTCTTGCCTACTCCCATGACCCTTTGGCTAGAGGAACTAAAGGATGTTTGTACTAACAATATAGAACCATGTTTTTACTTATTTTTTTTTTTTTATTGTTATGGCGTTGTAAAGCCTGTAGTCGTAATGGGATTTAAAGCTTGAAGTTTTTTGTTTTTCATGTGTACATTTTCCCCTTTATGATATATCTCTTCCTTAAAATGACAGATAAGTTGTAGAAAAAGAAATGCAGCACTCAGGTGCTGCCAGCCTTGGAGTTTTTGGCTGTAACCCAGTGACTGCAGCTGGAGAATGAGTAACGGCTTGCCTTGAAGTGAAATGATTATCATATTTTGCAGAATTATCTTTGTAACCACCTGTTAAACCATGAAGTAAACAACAGAACAATCAAATGTTTGTGCAAAAGCTTGTGATGATTTCTGTATAAACAAAGAAGACAGCTTTCTTGAGTTGTCCATTGTGAACACCAAGTCATAGTCTGTTGTCTTTCTCCCGGTGCCACAGGTCCTTCTGGAACCTTCAACTCCGCTGGAGCTGGTCTCCAGCACAGGACACAGCAGTGGTGTTCTCCTCACCTTGGCACTCAACTCGTCCACTGTGACCAGGACACAGCACTAGTGTCCTCCTTACCTTGGCATTCAACTCGTCTACTATGAAGTGACACAGGGCTGCTTTGAAGAAGTAATCCTTCGCACTGTACTTCAGCAAAGGATTATCCATAGTGTTTGCCCCAACCTAGGCACACAGAACAGAGTAAGATTTAAAAAGTCCATCTTCTCCTATCAGGCAAAATAAAAATTCCCAGATGCTTGTTATTAAATGCTTCAACAACGGCTGAGAAGGGGGCTAAGCCTCTGTCTGTGGTGTCAGTTCACATCCAGTCAGCTCCACTTCCCTTCCAGCTCCGTCTGTGGCTTGGGAAAGCAGTAGAGGATGGCCCAGGGCCTTGGACCCCTGCACCCACATGCGAGACCCAGAAGCTCCTGGCTCTGGACCAGCCCAGCTCCAACCATCAATAGCCATTTGGAATATTTCTCCAACTCTCTTTCTCATTCCTTTCACCCACTGTTTCATTCCCCAAATGGTTCCAGCAATGGCCAGGGCTGAGCCAGGACCCTGAAATGTCAACTGGGTCTCCCAAATTGGTGGTCCAAACACTTGGGTCATCTTCCACTGCTTTCCCAGGAACATTAGCAGGGGCCTGGAAGGAAAGTGGACCACCCAGGACTTGAACTGAAGCTCTCATAGTATGCTGGTACACAGACCACCTGGCACAGTGGGGAAGAGGATACTGGGCATGCCCAGATCCTACACTGAAGTTTCTATGTTTGAGCACCAGCCTCCTCCCAGTGTGGCCCCTGGTGATGACTACAATAGCGGGGTCCCTGCCATTCTCGTGGCAGACCCAGACTGATTCTTTGGTGCAGCCATTGCAGAAAAACAGTTTGGAAGGGTCTTAAAAAATTGAGCACAGGTTCTGAGACATAGGCCAAAAGAACTAAAAACACACCTCTCAGAGGGTTGGTGGGGTGTTACAGTAGGTTAAGCTTCTGTCTGTGGCACTGGTATCCCACGTGCTGGCTCGAGTCCTGATTGCTCCACTTTTTTTTTTTAATATTTATTTATTCTTATTGCAAAGTCAGATACACAGAGAGGAGGAAAAACAGAGAGGAAGATATTGTGTCTAATGATTCACTCCCCAAGTGACCACAACACCAGAGCTGCACTGATCCGAAGCCAGGAGCGAGAAATTTCCTCCAGGTCTCCCATATGAGTACAGGGTTCCAAGGGTCTGGACCGTCTTCGACTGCTTTCCCAGGCCACAAGCAGGGAGCTGGATGGGAAGCGGAGCTGCCGGGATTAGAACTGGCGCCCATTTGGGATCTCGGTGCATTCAAGGCGAGGACTTTAGCCACTAGGCTACTGTGCCAGGCCTGTGGTTACTTCACTTCTAAGCCAGCTCCCTGCTTATAACCTGGGAAAGCAGCAGAGGCTGGCCCAAGTCTATGGGCCCTTGCACCAATGTGGGAGACATGGAAGAAGCTCCTGACTCCCAGCTTCAGACTGGTCAGTGTGGCCATTTGGGTAGGGAGCCAGTAGAAGGACTCTCTCTCTTGGTCTCTCCTCCCACACCCCACCCATAACTGCATTTCCAATAACAGTACATACATTTTAAAAAAGAAAAACACCCCTAAAAAACCCGAACACAAATACCCACAGCAGCATTTTTAGCAACAGCTCCAAGGTGGAAATGATTCAAATGCTGACAACTGATGAAAGGATCAAATGGAAGATGATGAAGGCATGAGAAGCAATGAGGAATAGACATATTACAACCTGGATAACCTTAAGGATAGTCTGCTAGATGCATGCGCTCAGTCATATATATAATATGCAAGGCCTGGTAGCGCATGCCCTCAGAGGCAGCAGGAGCGTCCTCACCTGCTCATAAATCTCGATGGCTTTCTGGTACTGCTCCAGCTGGGCAGCATATGCCGCCACCTTCAGCAGACACTTGTTAGCGGAGCTGAAAGGATGAACCAGAGCACCGTCAAGGGGACAGGAGGACAGGAGGGGACAGAAGGGGACGGAGGGGGACAGGAGGAGGACAGGAGGAGGACAGGAGGGAACAGGAGAAGGATAGGAGGGGAAAAGAGGAGGACAGCAGGGGACAGTTCAGGGCACAGAGGGGGACAAAAGGGGGACTGGCCCACAAACTTCATGGACCTTCACGGACATTACCAAACACACTCAGAGGATACAGACATTTCACTGTGCATAGTAAAACAGGACAATAATACTTGCCTGTTGGATTCTTCTCCTTTGTAATAATCAGCCGATTGTTCATAATGTGCAATAGCCTGAAAACACATACATGTGAATCATGAACAATCTGCAATTAAAAGCTACTTCTGCATAAACATTTTTTATATAAAAATAAAGCCATACCAATGACAAACTTTCCACACTGTAGCAACTGACTCTGACTTCAGAAGCAGGAGTGCAGGCCGCACCAGAAGACTCCTGGTGACAAACGCCTGCTGTCCATCAAAGCCTGCTTATCTTTCCGCCCACAGAGCAATGCCCAGCTGCCCTATGTGCAGCCCCCGTGTGCCCAGCTCTCCAGTGGGATGCAAGCAGACAAGGTGTGGGCCTCTTTCACTTCCCATAGGCCAGTACAGCAATAATGACAAGACAGTGTGACACAAATTGAGGACGGCAGGACCCTGTCAGCCTGGAGCCGCAAGAAAAACAGAGGGCAATGCACCTCACGCCAGAGTCCCCACCATGGCCAAATCCACAGCAGCTACACCAGAACATTTAGAGGGACCAAAGCCCACTGACATCTCAGGTGTGGAGCTCACTACAGCAGCAGACTGTCCTCCTTCACACCCCAAGGGGCAGCCAGCACGAGGGTGCTCCGCGTCCTCCACATGCTGTGGCATCCAATTAACAGGCATATGGAGAGGAGACACGGAAACCCTGGTCACGCCATGCAGACTTAGCGAAGCCATGCCTCGGGCCCCTCAGAAGGAAAGACCCAGGCTGGGCAGAGCCTCCACTACCAGGAAGCCACTGGGAGCAGGTGCCACCCTGGAAGGAATCAGCTGGGGCACAGGCAGTCACAAATGGGAACAGGAAAGGCTGGGAGACATGCAATCTGTGACTTCTACAACCCACAGGCAAGAGGCAAGTCTGCACATGCTCTAAGCCAGGGGTCCAGGGAACTTCCTGTAACAGCTCGGGGAATAGATAGTTCAGGTTTTGAGGGACAATCTTTGCAGTAGCATGAAGGAAGTCGCATATGATGAGAAACAAGTTTAACGCTGCCAAGGATTCTAATTGTAACATTAGTCCTTGGCTTCTAGGCTTGTTTTGAAGACCTCTCTGCATGAGTTACCGAGGTTTGCCAGTACGCCCAAAACGGGCAGCAAGGGTGGCCTCCCCACTCAAGCCCAGTCTTGATCTCAGTGGCTTTCAGGCAGCCCCCAATGACTCAACGGCATACAGGAGCGGGACAAGAAAACAACAAACCTAACACAGGCGAAGCAGCTGATCGGCCCCCGGAAGCCTGCAAGGCCTCTGCCTGTGTGGGTCATAGGACGACCACTGCTGAAGCCACATGATGTGGGGGACAGGGCCAACACCACCCCCTCTGCAAAGCACCCCTCGAACATTCACAGGGAGAGGACACCACGCTGCCTCAGCCATTTGGCCAGGGCTAATATGGTCCTCAACATTTCCTCAGCTTATGTATAATGGGAAAAAAATGAGCACAAAATCTAAGTGGCTAAATAAAACAAGCTATCATGTTCGTTCACCGAAAGTAATGGACGGAAAGTCTTTGCATGGAAAGTTTTTCAAGAAACAAAAGCAAAGTAAGGGCCAGGCACTCAGACTCACAGAGAAGATAGCCATTCCTCAGACGCCAGTGCCCACATGCGGTCCTGACTCCAGCCTGCAGCCAGCAGAGCCTGGGGCGGCGGTGATGGCTGCAGGACCGGAACCTGGCACAGACCCCACCCAGGCCCAGCAAGCCCGAACGAGGGGGACGAAACGGCACATGGATGCTCTCTGTGCCTCAAATAAGTAAAAAAATTTGAACTTTTTTAAAATAAAAGTTTATTTACTTGAAATGCAGAAAGAGAGACAGGAGAGCTTCTGCCTATTACTTTCCTCTCCAAACACCTACAACAGTCAGGTATGGGCCAGACAGAAACTAGGACTCACGAACTCCAGCTTTCCCATATGGGCAGCAGCAGCCCAAGTACTCAGACCATCTTCATGTGCTACTTCCGGGTGCATTCGCAGGAAGCTGGATCTGCAGCAGAAAAACCTGGACTCGCCCCGGCACTCCAGTGTGGAATGCGCACATTCCAAGTGCAGGCCTGATTTGCTGTGCCACAAGGCCCATCCCCAGACTCGTAATTTGGGTTCAAAAAATTGGGGGAACTGAATGTTTGAGTGTGGGTTAACAAGTTAGTGAAAGTGACAGTGTTGGTGAAGTGGCAAAGCTACTGCTTGGTATGCTAAAACTCCACAGCACGGCACCTGCTTCATGTTCTAGTTCCAGTTCTGGCTCCAGCTAAGGGGCACCCCGGGAGACAGCAGATGATGGCTCAAATACATGGGTCCCTGCCACCCACGGGGGAGAATGAGTTCTACAGGACTGAACCAGCGGATGCCAGACCTCCGTTTCTGCCTTTCAAATAAAATACCATTTTTTAAAAAGAGATTTACTTTTATTGGAAAAGCAGATTTACAGAGAGAAGAAACAGAGAGAAAGATCTTCCATTCGTTGATTCATTCCCCAAATAATCACAATGGCCAAAGCTGAGCCAATCCAAAGCCAGGAGGTTCTTCTGAATCTCCCACGCGGGTGCAGGGTCCCAAGGCTTTGGGCCATCCTCTATTGCTTTCCCAGGCCATAAGCAGGGAGCTGGATGGGAAGTGGAGCAGTGAGATACGAACCTGTGCCCATATGGGATCCCAGCACTTGCAAGGGGAGAATTAGCCACTGAATCATCACATCAGGCCCATAGAAGAAGCTATTTCTAAAGGAGTTCATGCACAATCTATATACTGTGAATAATAATAATAATAAAAAAGAATGGAATTAAACATTTTTTAAGCCAAAATAAAAAATCTCTCTTCTAAAGACTTATTTAAAAGGTAGAGTGACAGAGACACACACACAGATCTTCCAGCCACTGGTCATTCCTCAAATGGCAGCAATGCTGGGGCTGGGTCAGCCCAAAGCCAGGAGCCCCAGCCAGGCCTCTCACGTGCTGTCAGGGGCCATCTTCCACTGCATTCCCACAGGAGGTGGGAATACATGAGCCTACATAGCAGCAGTTGGGTAAGAAGCAGGGCAGCTGGGACTCTATGGGAAGCTGGCACCATAGCATTGGCTTACCCACTGTGCCACTACCCTGGCCCTCAACTTCTCTCTTATTTCTATTCCTCCATGCATTCCCAGGGGGACAGTGCAGCCACGTATCTTCCTGGGTGTTATCAGAACTCAGTGAACACGGCCAGGCATAACCACTATTTTGAAAAAAAAAAAAAAGGGTGGGGGGCGGGAGTTATCAATTTAAACAATGGCACTGGCTCATGAAAATGCCAGGTACCAGAGCATTATCACAATGAAAGAACAATTCTAACAATGCTGAGGAAATCAAATCAATCCATCCCCAGGTCCCACACACCTGGGCAGCCTGCACTGAAGAGGACCCAGGCCCTATGCCTGGCAGGGACACTGCAGGGGGAGAACATGGCCTCAGCTTGTCTTTGGGGGCCCACCTGCAGGGGAGCTTTACCAGACATTAGCAAAGTTAAGACATGAGAGGCCGGCCTTGGATGCCTAACCTCAAGAACTGGAGCGAGCCTGGGCAGAAGAACACCAGCAGCAAGAACCAGGCCTGGCTGGCCATGCTCCAGGGCCACCACAATGAGCAAGGATCACAGCACCATGCACAGCCAAGACGCCAGGCATGCTGGCATCCGCTCCAGCAGCACCGTGTGGGTGCTGTGGGTGCATGTCGGTATATGTGCAGGTGCCCCGCTGGAGGAGGCGGGGGCGCAGAGGCACAAGGCCTGCTGCCAGAGCAGCAGCAGTGCCTCCAACAGGTGTCTCTGCAGAGTTCAAGCTTTTGTCAGCCACAAGTGAAACAGCCTTCAGAACCAACACCCCTTCAGAACCCGACACGAGCGTCACAACCACACCACCTGTGCAGAGCTACAGCACATCTCCAGGGCTGAGAACAGAATCGAGTCCCAGACCATCTCAAGAGAACCCTCTCTTTATCTGGATCGATGTGTTACCTTGTGAAGTGAAAGAAGCCAAGAGCTGGGGAGGCACTGCGCCAGGTTGTCACTGCTTGTAACACTGACCCCCCACACCAGAACACCAGTCAACAGTCCCAGCCGCTCCCTGCTAACAAGCCTGGGAAGGCAGTGGAACACGCCTTTAGCTAGAGCTGTATGTATCATTTTGCTCAGTGAAATAAGCCAACCCCAAAAGGGACAAGAATCATATGTTCCCTCTGCTATAAGGCAATCTTCATGCATTATACAAGATCAGCAGATATACAGGTAAACATGTATATACATATATTCATCTACAGGAAACATGTAATGGAGACTAACATACCAAGAAGTAAAGATATATTACAATGTGCGTCTCTACTCCTGAATAAAGGATGGACTCCCTATGAAACTGTTAAATATATCTTGACAATAGGATGCTCGACTTTCTACCATTGTCTATACCTACAATGTAACGATATACTTAAAATAGCAGAATGATGGACATGTGACTATTGCTGAAGGACTATACTATTAGTCCAGTAAATGATAATATAGGGAAAATCAGGGGAGGTAAGGGAGATTGGGAAGGGTGGAAGGAGAAATCCCTGTTCCTACGGCACTATGTCATGAAAAATATTTTAAAAAAAAATTTAAAAGAAGCTTGTAAAAACCTGACAACAGTAGAAGTGGTGCCATCTGCTGGACAAGCTATGGAATGGCAGAAACCCAAAGAGGTACCTGGCAGGGATCAGAAGCTGCCTTAAAAAAAAAACAGAGGGGATAGCGGTGTGACGGTGTGACATGTGCCTTTGCCCACCTTCACGTTTATGGAAACCTCACTGATGAACTGTCGCCCAAGATCATGGCCTGGTACTGACTGCATGCGAGAGGCAGTGGGCAAAGGCGCTCCGAGCCCAGTGCCTATTCCTGGCCCAGAGCTCTCTCCTGCCTGAACCCAGAAGGAAAGAGCAGAGCTCAGGCCCGACTCCACAAAGCCCGCCAGAGAGGAGGCTCGTGAGCGAGCATGAGCACACACGGCCGCCTGATGTCACAGACAGAGACGCCCTTCAGACGAGCATGGCCAAGATGAAGACAAAAAGCAGGAAGCGGATGCTGGGAGGGCCAGGGTCAACCTTGGGGCCACCTGAGGGCTGCTGCTCCGGATGGACTCATCAGAGCGGGCTGTCACAGAATGCTGGGCTCCGGGGCCACCAACATGGCAGAGGCCGAGCTCTCCCCTGCCAGAGCAGCCAGTCCAGGAGAGAGACGGCTAGTACCAGCAGCCAAGACTGTGACAGTGCATAGCATGAGGTGGCAGGGGCTCTCCACAAGAGGCAAGGCCCAGGGATGGAGCGTGCAGGCCTGTGCCAGTGTGTGCTCCTTGGCAGCCAAGGGATCTGCACAGGTATCACATAAAAGGTGAGCAAAGAGCAAAACCGAAGGACATAAAGGACAGGAGCGGCCAGCCACATGGACATCTGGGAAGGAGCTGTATAGACTGAAGAACAAACCTGGGCAACAGTCCTGGAGGCAGAAGACCAAGGGCACAATAGAGGTTGCAGAGGGGCCCGGGACACCCTGCAGTGGGGCCCTTGCGAGGACAGCTCCAGCTGCTTCTCCCAGCAAGCAGTGCAGAAGCAGAACCCCACACACTGTCAACCAGGACTCTGGCTGCTCTGGCTGCATGGGATGCCAGAGGCAGCTGGGAGAAGCAGCACAGCGAGGGGCCAGGAAGCCCCTGCAGCGATGAGTGCAAGCCAGGGGACTACCAAGAATGGCACCCACGGAAACCACGCACAGGATGATGCAGGGAAAGACACACAAAGACACCCACACTTTGGAGGGGAACTGGGACTTGGATCAGAACCCACTGGCTGCGCACAGGTGGGCAGACACGTGGTGGCAGTTGGGGCAGTCAGGGTTGCCAGTCACCACGTGCACACAGCTCTTACAGCTCTTAGAGCTGTGTGCACAGTCCGAGACCGTGGAGACAGCCCTATGCCTCGTAAGCCATGAGTGGCTCTCGTGTCTTGAGACCCTCACTACCACCTGCTCCGCCAGCCCTTCCTCACACATCCTGGCGAAACCCCGGCCTCAAGGCTCCACTCCAGCTGGCTGGGAGAGCAGCAGGCTCCTTAGGGCAACCCCTCTTGATGAGGCCTCGGGCCAGCTTACCTTCTCAATGTCCACCAGCTCCGTCTCGTAGATCTCGGCGATGGTGATGTGGTGCTTAGCTGCAATGGTAAACCTCCCCTGGTGGAAAAGAAGGAGCGTCCATCACACACGCTGAGCCCCTAGCACGCCAGTCCAGGAGACCCCAGAGCTGCGCGAGCAGGCCAGCGTCTTACCATGTCTGTGTAAATGTCGATGGCTGCGTTTAAGCAGTTGATAGCCTCTGCCACGAGTGCATTCAAGAGAAACAACGAGAGATCCATTCAGTCAAAGGGGGTTCAGGGGTCTGCCTTCCCAGCTCTCACAGGACATCAGTGTGGTGCCCCTCGGGAGCAGAGGGTGGCCGGAAGAGGCAGTAAGCAGCAGACAGAAAGCCTGCCTGTGTCCGGCTTCAGGAGCCCGGCTTCGTGCTCTGCAGCTACAGTGTGGTTCAGGGAGTGATACTACCCTGGGCACTCTAAGCCTTGAAGCGGGGACTCTGCCCAGAGGACACTGGACCACAAAGGAAAGGACAGCCAGGGGAACTGAAACCAGCACCGGCAGAGTCCATCTGCTACAGTGCAAATGTAAACGTGTTCAAAGCCTCCACCTACAGTGCTGGCATTCCAAAGAGGCACCTGTTCGAGTCCCTGCTATGGTCTGAGAAAGCACTGGACGATGGTCCAAAGCCTATGTGGTAGATCTGGAAGAAGCTCCTGGCTTTGGACTGGCTGGACTATGGTCATTGCAGCCATTTGGAGAGTGAACCAGTGAATGGAATATCTTTGTCTCTCCTTCACTCTGCCATCCAAATAAAAATAAATTAATTGAAATAAATAAATAAATAAATAAAAACCCTCACAGGTGTGTCTGTTAATTTGGGAAAAATTCCTTCAGAGGATGCTAACGAGAGGGCGCTAGCTAACCTGTCTGAAAGAGGAAGGAACCCCGGAGAATGACCCTGTCTCTGTGGGGCACTCCTTCCCAAGCAGGAAGCCAGCGTACAGCCCTGCTGCACAGCACTGCCATTTGCAATACTGCACGCAGCTGACAGCTCCAGAGTTAGGGTTTTTGGCTGGAAAGAGGCAACTGTGTGCAAACGTCTGACTCAAGGACCACGAATATAAACAGACCAATGAAAATGAAAAGCGACTTCCTCCCAAACTGCTTTTAAAAGTGGGCTCCCAGCTGCCCTTTGACCGGCAGAGTGCGCAGGAGAGCAGCGGCTAGCCTGGGCTCCCTGGGACCCACCGCTGCGCTGTCCTTCCACAGGCATACACCTGTTCCTGCTCTACGGAGCACACACCACAGAGCCACATGTAGCTCTCCAGCGCCCCCAGGGACATGAGCAGGCTTCTGCAGACCCTCTGAGACCAGGGACTGCAGCGCCTGAATTGTACCCTACAATGCTGACAGGACAGAGGCCAGGCTACTCAAGTGGTCTCTATGCAGGTTCTCATTTGGGAAATTAATCCTGATAGAAAAGCCCTTGAAAATACCTTATTTCCTTGTGACATTTCCATAAAAGTTGGGGGGCTGGTGTTATAGCATAGTGGGTAAGATTGCTACCTGCAATGCCAGCCTCTCATATGGATGCCACTTTGTGTCCAGGCTGCTCCATTTCTGATTCAGCTCCCCGTAATGGCCTGAAAAAAGCAGCAAAAGGTGACCCAAGTGTTTGGGCCCCTGCTGGCTGCTGTGGTCATCTGGGGACAGATCTCTGTGTTTCACCCTCCCTGCTGATAAAAACATCTATTAAAGAAAAGAAAGGAGTGGGATATGCTAGGCAGAAAGGACTACCGAAGAAAAAGTGAAGTCACAGAGTGATCTGTGCACGTGGGTGTAATCACTGCTGGAATCTGCTCAGCGTACTCTCCCAAACAAAGCAATCTGCAAAACGGAACCACTTTAAATTTCCATTGTCATCTTTTCCTCAAAACCAATACTTAAAAAAAAAAAAATCTTGTTAAAGAACATGTGGGTACTGTGAGACTACAAGGCATCTTTGTAACCACGGGCATTACCAGCTCATGGTAACTGGATCCTGCGAGAATTCACAAGGTATGCAGCAGCAGGCACCAATCCCCTTTCCTGGGCAGTAACACGGCACACACACAGGATGGAACAAACCACTGCACACACCCAGTTCCCTCAGTGGTCTCATCACCCACATGCTCCTCCACTAGGGCTCCGAAGGACCCACGTGGCCCTGAGACGAAGGAGACTGTCCAGGTCGGGACAGGAGCAGCACAGGCGCTGCCAGGCGGCCTCACCTTGGGGGTCTGCCTTCTTGTAAGCGTTGCCAGCATCCACGAAGCTGGTGGCGGCGTCGTGCTTGCTCTGCAGCTGCATGTGCAGCTTGGCGGCCTGACAGAAGGCGTTTCCTGCAGCTGGAGAGGAGGAGCCCGGTCACACACACAGGCACACCCTGCCTGCCGATCGGCCCACGCGGTGAGTGCAGGGCCTCCTTCACCGAGAAGTGGCATTCCCACCGGAGAACACAGTGATCAAGAGCCTCTGAGCCAACACAGAAACGACCAGCCGGCAGCCCACGTCAGGCAACGAGGACTCCTCGACACACCCAGGCCTCCACAGCAGCCAAGCCCTGGGCTGTTCAGGTGTACCACATAAACACAGAATGGAAGCTGCAAGTGGTCAGAGGAAGGCAAAACGCCGGGTCCAAGGTACTGCCTACTCCTTCTCTATCTCACATATCCACCACACTCAGGCCGCACTGTGGAAATTGGAGGCTTTTAGGAGAAAGTCTCTTAATTAGACCTACAAGTCTTAATCTTAAAAAAAAAAAAGGGGGGGATGCTAACAATGCAGCTGTTCCCTCCCACTTAGAGCAAAGCCTGAGACTGAGACAGGTGCTGGTTGGTCCCAGTCAGTGAGAGCATCTGCCTTCTTTCCTGCAGCACCCACACTGGTTTGGGGTTCAGGGTGTGTATATAGGCGCTGCCCAGACCCCTGCTGGGACAGGCTTCGTGACAGCTGTACACTGTGTACAGAGAAGACTCCTGGACACAAGGGCCTAGAGTCTGTGCTGCTAAGAGGGAGGCACCCAGGAACAGGTGGGAGGCGCTGCAGGTGGAGGCCACTAGCATCTGTGCTGCCCACAGGAGGTCAGAGCCCTGGCCACTCCGCCTCTGATCCAGCTTCCTGTTAGTGCACCTAGGAAGCGGGTGGTTGCCACAGTCGCAGGAGAACCTGATGGAGTTCCTGACTCCTTGCTTCAGCCTGGTCGGCCCTGGCTGCTGTGGGCCTTTGGGGAGTGGACAAACACACAGAAGGGCTCTCTCTCTCTCTGCCACTCTGCTTTACAAATAAGCAAACAGATCTTAAAGCAAGTACATGTGCGCACACACAAAGCTCAGCCTTGCAACCAGAAGGAGCCACCACAGAAATATGTTTTAGGTTACTGACTTGTTTTGCTTAATGGTGACAAGAGACTCAAAGAAAACTGCTCCTACAGGGGAGCTGAGAACAGGATCACCGAGATGACCACCCCCGAAAAGACCTGTTGGAAGCAGGGCAGCAGGCACAGGCTGTCTGGGGGGAGTGTGCAGACAGAGAATTAGCGCAGCAAAAGCTCCATGCCAGAAGGGGGATGGACAGAGCACCAGCAGCAGGCAGCAGACAGACTCAGAGAGGACGGGGTGGTCCCTGAGGGCCACATGAGTACAGAATGCTATGATCTGACTTAACTGGAGTTATGCTGCTTCATGAAACAAGGGTTTAGATGCCCCCTAAGGTACCCCTTGTGTCTGAGTGCCTGAGTTTAAGTCCCAGCTGCACCTGTAGTTTCAGCTTGCAAATTGTGTCAGACTCCAATACCTATAGAAAATGCAAGACCTGAGACTGGAAGTGGTTCCAGTAGGGAAACTGAACACTCTTCTGCTGGGCTGCAGCTCCCACTGGCGGGCATGAGCCAGGACTGGGGGCGGGCCAGGATGGACAAGGCAGCAGCATCCATCAGCACATGTGTGGACTGGGTGATAGGGTGGGCTAAGCTAAGCTGCAACACCCTCAGGTGTATAGAAGAGCTTAACTGGGACGCAGCATGGACCAGACTAGTCTGTTGTACATATTGACACTTGTAGGAATCAGGGTTGGGGCGGGCCTGGTAGGGGTTATCGGGAGTCACAGGAACTAGGTTGAAGTTCCCACTGGTGGGTGTAAGGACCCAATCTGTGGAAGGTTAGGCTGGACTGGGCTGCGGCACCCATTGGCCTGCACAGGACATGGGGCTGGATGTAGGAGGACAACTGATCAAAGAGAGGCCACTGGGAAGCCTTGCAGGTGCGGAGCCACGGCTAGCTGCAATCCTGTCAGGAAGGCTCTGGACTGTTCATATGGAACAAGCCAGAAACTCCCTACTTCTCAGGTTTAGGTAACAGATCAAAGAGAGGCGCTTCCTCCCTCAGGCAGAGGGAGGAACTCCCGTAGTCTCAAATCAACTTGCTATCGAAATGTAAATTCCTCAAACATTCCTCCCCATGCCTACGTGACCCTCAATCTTCAAAAACCCTGATGCTGTTAATAAACTTCAGCTATTGATCATCAGTCAGTAGTCCATGTGTATGATTACTGGCTCCATGCACCAACATCACAGCGAACAGCTGGGGACGGAACTGACCAGACAACTACAATCACTGGTGTGTGTGCAGGCTGATGCAGGTGACGGATTAAACCAGACCCTGTTCTGGCTGGCACATACAAGAGTCAGGCCTGCGGTCACCCATGGTAAGATTTCTTCGGGAAGTCCCAAACTGGACCACTTGGCTCCAAACTCCAGGCACAGGGGAAAATCACAGGATTTGTGGTCTGACCTTGGAGTGCCTGTATATGGACTGGGCCTCCTTGATTGCTGATGCCTGTGCAGTGGATGGCATGCCCATGTGCATATGGGGACACGATGGCCAGGTCACTTAGGCCTGCAGAGGACAGCAAGTGCCATATCAGAAGATGGAGAGAAGAACAAGCTGGACACCTCTCCTGACCAAGCTTTGGCAGCAAGGGTGTGGGGTGAGTCCACTGGGGTAGACTCTGTTAACTAACGAGCCTGGGAAGCAACAAAGTCAACCGGGTCATGGAACTAGCAAAGCCACTCAAACAGTAGCCTTGGGTCATTCTTCTCCGCACTGGCATTCCTAAGATGACACCAAGTGGATAGCCCTCATTCCTGAGTAATGATGTCGTTTGGCAGCTGGACGTGGCCCTGACTTCATACAGGGACAAGGGAAGAAAAGGAAAATTAAAAGCATTTGTCCTACCCATCTTCCTCCATGTCTTGGCCCTCCCCACCCTAATCAGTGGTCCTCATGGGTGTACATTCTTGTCAACTATGTAAACATCAAAATTAAATTAACTTAAAAAAAAACCAACCCAGCAAAAGATTCCTTGTCCTGACTCCAGCTAACTTTAACTCTTTCAGTTATCATAAGCCCACTGCATCAGAGGGCTCACAGGAACTAAAAGAGGCCATCTGTGCTGTGTCCGCAACATAACCTTGGAGTTGGGCTTTCAAGAGCCATGGTAGCCCTATCAGCGACCTCCCAGCACGGGCCCTAGCCCCGAGGCCACTGCCTTCCTCTGAGCCTAACGAGCAAGCTGACAGAAGCCAGGTACATACCACTCCAATTTTTGGCCATCTTGAACATGTTTGCTGCTCTGGTATACATTTCACAAGCCTCTTCTATCCTCGTGTTTCCTCTGGGAAAAATGTAAAAGCGACATTCAGTTTATTAATAACAGACACCCACATCCTTAACCCACCCTCCCTCAGAGAACACACAGGGAATGAGCACTCGGCACATGTCACTCAGCGTTCAGCAATCTCCACGCTGCTCAAGGCAGCCTCTTCCTAGCCCCGTTTTCCCAGACGACCGGTGCACGACAGTGATGGCACAAGCCCAAGGTCACACAGCAAAGTACATGGGACTGAGCTTAAACACAGATCTGGCTGAACCTCACACCCACACCTTTCACAGCGGAGTTTTGTCAAAGGGAAAACTGCTTTCGGAGCTAAGCATTCCCCGGCGCCACCGGTGTGTGCTTTTTCTGACTGAACAAGACAAACCAAAGCTGACAGCAGAGGTGAGTGTGCCTGACCTCAGCAATGACATCACCTCTGGCAGCCATCGCATCAGCCTGACCCGAGCTAGCTCTTCAATTCCAGAGTGCCTTGGTTCTTGCCCTTGACAGCAGTACTGTCTCTTTCCTCTGTGCTACTACAGTGAGGATCCAAAGAAATAATCCATGCGCAGATGCCGTATCAGAGCCTGACCATGAGCCTCAGCCGAGATTGTAATCTGTCCCTGAGGCCAGTGTTACGGTACAGTGGGTAAAACTGCTGCCTGCAGTGCCAGCATCCCATATGAGTGCTGGTTTGTGTTTTGGCTGCTCCACTTCTGATCCAGCTCCCTGCTAATGGCCTGGGAAAAGCAGTGGGACACGATTCAAGTGTGTGGGCCCCTGGCTTCTGGTCCCAGGCTTTAGCCTGGACCAGTGTCAAAAGTCATAGTCACTTAGTGGATGGGAGATCCTGACACGTTGCTCCTTGTAGCCCCCTCCCGCTTCCAGAGACTGGTCAGGGGATGTTACTTAAGCCAGGCCTCAGCCACACCTCCTGCATGACAGTGCAAGGCAGTTAGCACCTGTCAGTCAGCCTGTGAACATACCATCAGTAACGGCACCCAGAAGTCATTTGTGAGAAAAGGAATGGCCAGATGTGACGCTCCTGCTCGTTGATGCTCCTCTCTGTCCCTTTCAGGGGCAATTACAGTTTCCAGTTTTAAAAACCAATCCCATGCCGCTGCTCAGGGTCGAGGACTTTAGCGGCACGAGCCCTCTCTAGCCTGATGGTGACAAAGGACTCACCCCAGATTTTCGGTGTGCAGTGTGTAGTGCTCCTGCAGGTGACTCACTCCAGGTACAACATATCTCATAAGGAATTCGTGGCTAGCATACATAAAAAACTCTTACAGCCTAGCAATAAAAAGACCAACTAATAAAAATGCATAAAGACTCTGAATAGATACTTCTCCCAAGAGCAGAGGCAAACGGCCATGAGCACATGGAAAGAGAATGGCATTATTAGCCATCTGGGAAACACCACTTGGCTGCCCTAGGACATGCAGGAGCAAATGACAGACAGTAACCAGTGTTCAGGGACCACAGAGGAACTGGACCCCCTGCAGAGCTGGCAGCAAGGCACATGGGGCAGCCGCCTGGGGATCACTCCAACAGTTACACAGGGCTTTCACATGACCTGGCATTTCCACTCCTGATACCTACCTAGAGAAATGAAAACATCTGCTCAGATTTTCAAATACATACACTTCTGGGAGCTTCAGTTATCAGAGCCAAAAAAGTGCAAACCGACTGAATGTCCATCAGCTGATGGCCAGACAGGTAAAATGCAGCGTGTGCACACACACACGCACACACACACACACACACACACACACACGGGGGGGGGGGTGTTACTGAGCACTATGAAGGGAGTGGGTGCTCATATCTGCTACCCACACGACTGAGCCTTGGAGAGGCTAGCCTAGTGACCTGACAATTGGCCTCATATCAAGCTCCCGGGGAAACACAGCTAGAGCCAGAAGCACGTGACTGGTCACCTACAGCCTCAGCGAGAGTGCCTCTGTCACCTCCAAGTCCACAGATTACTGCTGCTCGAGCAAGGGCCTGGGGAAGGCGGTTCTCTCTTACTCCTCTGCCAACCAACGACACAGCAAGAGGGCACCCACCAGCTCCCACATGCCAGCCCCTTGGATGTCCCACTTCCTGAACTGCAAGGAAAGACGTTCTTTGTAACTTACCCTGTCTCTGGTCCTGCTGCAGCCAGCCCCAAAACAGACTTAAGATGTCTACAGCCAGGAGTGCTGTGGGGAAGGGTGAGGGGGCGTGAAGATGTTCAAACCTACCGAAGTACACATTTAAACTGGTGAACTGGGACAAGTGTTGAAACTAAGCAGCTGCCTGAGACACCTGCATTCCATATCAAAATGTGGGCTGAAGTCCTGGCAAGCAGCAAATGAGGGCTCGGTGCGTGGGCCCCTGCCACCCACATGGGAGACCTGGGTGGCTATGTGGGTTCCTGGCTGTGGTCAGGCCTAGCCCTGGCTATTACTGACATTTGCAAAGTGAACCTGTGGATGGACACCTTTTAAGTAGATATAAAAACACCAAACATTTAAATGGGTGAACTACACAGTATATGAAGTAAACCCCAGCAAACCTATTACCCACTCCCTACACTCCCACAAACAAAAAAAAAAAAAAAAGAAAGCAAACTCTGAGGACCACACCTCAAAGTGAATGCCAAGATGGCAGCAAGCCGTGCAAATGGAGGGTCTGAACTGCCAAGCGTTCTCTCCCACTTCACAGCCTGTATCTACACCTTTCCCCAAAACAAGCAGCCAGCAGGCTCCCCAGTAGAAAATTCCTCATGAGCGCACTCTTCAGCCTTAGCCACAGCTCCTTGCCATTTTCTTGTGTTTTGTTTTTTCTAGAGTTTTCCAGGAATCCTGAACTGCAATTACAGTGCAGTCATTAAAGGTTTCCAAATAAAATCAGCTCAATCAAGATGCACTTTGCTGTATTATTATGAGGCAGATGCGGTTAGGGGTAACACGACTCCTCCATTAGGCTAGGTTTACGCCAGATATTTCCACAGGTATCAATTTTATTATCACAGCAACTGCAACAGACCACCTCCACTCCACAGAAAAGACATCATCGACAGCAGGCAAATGGCTCCCAAGGGCACCCAAGGTCAGTGGACTTTCCAAAAACACTAAATGAACACTGCGAGACCACATGTCTCTAACAAAATCACCAAAAAAAAAAAAAAAAAACCCAACAACAAAAACATTCCCACTTAAAACAAACAAACAAACAAAAAAAACCACTGGAAAACTGGACTAGAAAAACCCTAACTTCAAAACTTCATGAACGGGGTGGCTTTGTGGCACAGCACGTAAAGCTGCCACCTGCAATGCTGACATCATGTTCAAGTCCCAGCTGCTCTGCTTCTGACCCAGCTCTCTGCTAATGTGCCTCAGCACCTGGGGCCCTGCACCCTCACGGGAGACCCAGGTGTTCCTGGCCTTGGACCAGCCCAGCTCCGGCCATTGCAATCATCTGGGGAGTGACCCAGCAGATGGAAGATCTCTCTTCTGTGACTCTTTTTAAAAGAAAATTAAAAACAACAACAACAAAAAAAAGATTTAATTTTATTTGAAAGGCAGATTTGTAGAGGGGGGAGAGAGATTTTTCATCCATTGGTTCACTCCCAAATGGCCACAACAACTGAAGTTGAGCTGATCCAAACCCAGGAGCCCAAAGCTTCTTCTAGGTCTCCCACATGGGTGCAGAGTCCCAAGGCACTGGGCCTTTCTCCACTGCCCTCCCAGGCTGAAAGCAGGGAGCTGGAAGGGGAGTGGGGTTAGGCGCGACCTGAACAGTTTCCCATATGGCATGCCGGCACCATGTCTTTCAACTAAATAAATTAACAACAACAACAACAAAAAAAGGCGGCTAATCTTAACTCTCTGCTGGTGCTTTCTCGACCATGAAAGGCAACACGGACCCAATGCCACCCTGCTGAGGGAGCCACAGCAGCCAGGTAGCCTGACCACACTCATTCAGAAACACTGACCCAGACCAACACAACCCAAGAACCCTAACAAGAGAAACCGCTTCCCCATGGGAAGCAGGAAAGGATGGCACACCTCAGGGCTGCATGCTGATGGAAAGAGTCGAAGCAGCCAGACCAGCCAAGGACCTGCAGACAAGGCTGCCAGCCCTGAGCTGTCCCACCATGGCGGTGAAAGCAGCCTTAGCCGCGCCTCGGAGAGTGCTGCCCCCACCCCACCCTGATGCTGCCTGTCCCAGAGCACTGTGCAGCAATGGCAGCAACACACTGGCTACTGTACCCAGTGGGCGGGGACAGGGCGAGGCGGGATTCCACAGCACCTGGCCCAGCTGAGAGAGACAGAGAGCCGGCTCTGAATCACAAGCCAGGAGCAGGAGCGTGACAGTGACTGTGCTGTGAAGACCCAAGTGCTCTGTAGTGGGGATGCCTGGAGGATGCAGGCTGGGGACAGCTGGGGACAGCCAGGGACCTGGGGCAGGGCTCAACCACACGAGACAGCTCCTCCTAGTTCTGGGGTGGGGGCACTAGTACAAGGGCCTGGCACACAGGCCACAATGACAACACTCAGGGTCTGCATGGAAGAAACGGGGCACTGTTTCCCCAAGTTCTTCAAGTCAACAGGCAAGTATATTTAGTATTCAGAAAAGAGAAAGAAAATCCCAGATCTGGGTAACAACACCTCTGCCACATCTAATTACCACCTCCGTTACATGATCCAGCATATCCAGAAACCACCCACATCCACAGGATGTTTCCCTCTAGGCTTAGTCCAGTTTCCTTCACTAGATGGGAGAAGCAGAGACTTGAGCGCCAGGGAGATGCAGTGGTCCAGGTGACGCTATCCAGAAAGGCAGTGGGGACACACTGTAGGGTGCTGCTGTGAGGTCTTCCACCCCAGACCCACAGCAGCAGCTGCCAGAGCCAGTGTTCCCAAACGGTCGTAAGGCTTCAGCTAGAAAGACCCCAGACTTGAGCGTGAGTCGCAGAAAAGCCACAAACACACTGTCACTTAAAGCCCCCTGCTGCGAGAAGCATCCTGGCT